GAAGTCCAGTTTGCTCTGCCCCTTCTTATAGACACTTCACTATTGAGTTGGCAAATACCTGTCCAGTCTGAGGTATTTGCCTCAAACTGGACAGTCTGAGGTATTTTAACAGTTCAGCCACCTTCACTTCTTTTCCCATGATGGAATTAATGTTTGACTTTTGGGAATCTACAATCATGTTGTTTTTTGTTCACATTCAAGATAAGATGATTGTATCCAAACCATAGTACAAAGTGGTCCACCAGCTCTCTTGTCCATCTCTGATTCACCCAACAACTGCAGACTTATCTGAGTATTTTTGTAGATGACAGGAGTCGGACTTGTGGTGGAAGTTCGTACTTCTTGACACCAGACCCGGTCGAACTATTTCAAAAAGAGTTCTGTGTGAAGTGTTGTGTGATTGGTCAGACATTTGCCATGTTTTATGTATAAATGCTCTCGCATAGAAATACCTTCATGTCTGCCTTCATTAAGGCGGGGGGGGTTGGGTGGGGGACTGAAAAATTCTAATTTGATTTTGTGCTTGTTTTACTTTACCTGCTCAGCAAACAAAGTAGTCTGGGTTTGTAGAAAAGGGATCTGTAAATGATTGTAAGACCCTAAGATCTGAAAACTAAAATGGATCTCACACGTTGCCTTATTTCAAGAAAGACATACAGTGTCTTAGATATTTTGGAGGGTGGATTGTTATTTTCTAGGTGTATAAATTTATCTTTGGTCTATTTTCAGCAGCAGTAACATGATATGGACACTCTGTCTTTTAGAAGGCTCGCTGTATTTAGCGTTTTGAGGTGAGGATCATTTAATGAAAAGGCGTACCCAAGTCGTCTGTAGAGTAAAAGTTCCTGAGTGTTAAGTATGTTTGAAACCTTAAAGGTCATTTTCTGAAGGCACATTTAAGCAGACAAATCAGCCTTATCAGAATGTATATTCCAATTTATTGAATATGATTGTATGCCATCCTCAAACTGTGGACATGATGCATGTCCATAAATGGCCCACAGACAATCATTATTCACAAAACCAGCATTTGGTGAGACATACATACATAAATTTCAAATGCAGTAAGTTGAAAAATACTCAATACCATATTTCATACTGCAGCAGCAGTTTTTGAAAGCATCAATATGATGATAGTTTAACTTCTTTAACTAAGACAAACTCATTAAGTAGGAGGGAATTTTTCCCTTATTTTGAGAAAATATTGAATGTATAAATGTTGCATCCATTTTTTGCAAATCAGTAGACAAGATGAACTTTCAGAGTCACATAAAGACAGTTACAAAGTTGGCCTTCTACCAGCAAGATCTAGAGAAACTCATCCATGTGTTTATCTTTAGTCGCATCGATTACTGCAACAGTGTCTTCACACATGAACCTAACAAATCAATCCTCCAGCTGCCACTGATCCAGAACGCTGCTGCTGGTATTCTGACTAAAACAAGGAAGTTAGAGAACTGTGAGAATAGACTTTAAAATACTGATGTGAGTTTATAAATCACTGAACAGTTTAGCAGCACAATATATTAAATATCTGCTGCTGTTGTATCAACCTTCCAGAACCTCTTAGGTCTTCTGGTTCTGGTTCTGCTCTGTGTCCAGAACCAGAACCAAACATGGAGGAGCAGCATTCATCTTCTATGCACCACAAATCTGGAACAAGCTTCCAGAAAACTGCAAAACAGCTGAAACACTGAGTTTCTTTTAAATGTAGACCAAAATTGATTTCTTTAGAACTACCTTTTGACTAATATAACTGGAAAATCAATTTATTTTAATCTTTATTCCAACATTTTATGAAGATGAATTTTGATGACATTTGACAAAATGTAGTGTTTCTCTATCATTTAAACCAGCTACAATTACCTTAGAGCTGAAATGTGCTGTACAAGGAACCTTGTCTATATCAACTTTGAGGAAATGAGTAACTTTGAATAATTTTTTTTTATTAATTGTATTGCAATTTTGATTATCTTGATAAACCTACGACATCCCACAGGTTAGTGTGAACCTAACCTGTGGCTTAACCTATTTGCCCCCTACTCTGCCCCTATGGGCCACCACAGCTGTGTGGCATTTTCACTCAGAGACCAGACACTGGTCAGTAATCCTCCGCTCGTCCTGTCCACCTCTGTGGTTTCACATCGAGCCCAGCAGACGTTGCCTCAGTCTTGAAAACTTGTGAAAGGACTGAAGTGTGTATTTGAGTGTTTTCATGATGGCGTTGTTCAGAGGAATGACCCTGATGACTCATGTCCTTACATAGCCTGCTCTGATTTATCAGCCTGGTAAATCTGGAACAGATGGCTCACTACATGTACAGACTACTTTGTCATGGTTGTCACCCCGCTGTTTGGATCCTACCTGTGCTGTGACGGTGCTTCACCCGTCTAAACACAGGGCACTGGTCAGGCTTTAATCTTGGTGAGTGTCATAGAGCTGCGCAGCGTCATTCCCCTGAAGCTGAGCTGGACCCAGGGCTGAAAAATGGACCAGAATGGAAACTGAGGTACCGTGTTTATTCAGAGGTGGAAAATGTTGAACTAACTTCTACTGAGTGCTGCACTGGAGCAGCTGGCATGCCTGCATAGTGTGAGCAGAAATATGAGGCTCCAAGTCATTATTACATTGTGCTGTCATCACACTGTGGTCCCCACCACTGCACACACCTACACACACACACACACACACACACACACAGATTTATTTGCCTTCATCCGTTTCTGTGTTAATACTAGCTCACCTTTGCAGGGCAAGAGCAAAATGACAACTTTGTGAATTATTCATTTCAGTATCAGTTCTATATCAGCTTTTTCTTCTTCAAAAGCAAACGGCTGCCATGTTCTCCCAGAATTCTGTGTAGGGATCTGGTTTCAGGATTCATGCTCTTATTGAGACAACAAGCTGGAGCCTCAAGCTGTTTTTTGTCAATATTCCTGTGGAAATATTTCTCTCTCCCTTGAATCAACAAGAGAAACTCTAAAGTTCATTAGAATGGATGAATTTTGTGTGTTCAGTTCTGTTGAAAAGCAAACAGGGTAAACGCATCGATTCCAGATTTCCTTCAAATCAAGTCCCAACTTGTGCTGAAAGATCCGTGGAGGACGTACATCTGGTACTTTACTTCACTTTGGCCACATTGATTCATTGATGATTTCTTTTTTAATATAAAATGTCAGATTTTTCTTTAAAATGATGTTAATTCCAGTAACATACTCAGGATAGGTAGACAAGTAAAAAGGAGCAAAATATTCTGTTAAAAGTTTACTTTTTGTTTTTGATAATTATTTTTATATGTGTGAAACATAACTGTCTCTGTTGCATGAAAATTTGAGCAGATGTTATCTGATATTATTACCGTTATTGTCGATAACCAATATTTACTAAGATTATATATATTTTCTTACCCTTAAAAATAACAACTACACCAATGGTTTCACCTCTGCTTCAGTTAGACTTCCAACAATGCTTTACTGCATCACTGTCAAAATGAAATATCAACCGATACCGATGTCAGTGCTGACATACAGTGGATCCCTCTGTGGCAGTGGGTCCTTGAGGGCCAGTGTCCTGCATGTTTTAGCTCTTCCTGGTTTAACACTCCTGGATCAAATGATGGCTCATTTTAAGGCCTAAGAAGATCATTGACATGACCGCTGCTCTATGGTCTCAGCTGCTCTGTTAAACAGGGTGTGAAACTGGGGCAAATGACAGGAAGCTGAACACATTGTTCTGTTTCATCATAAAACATGCTGGATGTGGAAAAGGTTTGGAACTTTCTAGAAATCTGGATTAAATGTTAACATTCTCTTCATAACATACACAGGCGACTAAAGGTACGACGCTAAAGACAGCTGCTCTCTCTCACACTGTGTGACATCAGCTGTTTGAGCTGTTTATGTTTAAGGAATAGGGTGATGACATCACATCCCTCAACAACTACCGGTTGGTCACTTTGCCTCTCCATTCTACCATTATGTGGTGCCAACAAATGGTTACGTTAGCATCCTGCTTTCCAAGCTTCCAGCAGCTCCATGAACTAGCTGAAGGCTCCTGCAGCTATGGAGAGCTAAAAGGGACAAAATTAATTAAATAAATTGTTAGTCATTAATTGAATGTACCCTGAAATAAATAAAATGTTTAAGTAATTTATTTGATAGACATTTTATTAGATGTCATTGAATCATTAAAATGCAAAATTATAAAAGCTGATGCATATAATTAATTAAATGGATATTATTTTATGCTTCCTGTTCCTGCAATACATTTCTGCACCATGCTATATTTTTATCTGCCAGGCTCATCTGTCAGAGCTGAAGGCGGAGCTAACACTGATCTGTTGAACTCATCTAGTTTAGCTTGATTCTTTTAAATCTATTTTGTAGAACTGTCACAAACCAAATAAATGTTTCATGTTTGCAAATATTTTGCTATTTCTTTGGAATAATGTAATGCAGGTTTGAAACGACTAAATGTCATATTTCTAGAGCTGGAGTGTTAATATGATCCTTGGTTTAACTTTTCCAAGAGTCAGGCTAAACTAGTGGAGTTCAATAGATCATTATTAGCCCCGCCCTCTCAATTCTGAATTAACTCTTTAAGGAACAATAACCATTAAATAATTACATTGATTTATCTGCCTTGGCTATTATAAAATTGCATTTGAATACTTTAATGACTTATCTTACAACTTGTCTAGTAAATAAATAATTTAAATATTTAATTAAACATTTATTTATTTCATGATTTGTTTAATTAGTGATTTAATATGCATTTATTTATTTAGTTTTGTACCTTTTGGCCCTCCATAGGCATCTCTCTCTCATTTTCTATTGGGAAACTCCATTTCTTGGTCAGATGAAAATATTTAGAAAACCACATCTGCCTGGGCTGTGACTAGTTTTAGCTTAGCTGTAGGGTGTGTGTCTGTCTGTGATTGTGGATGTGTGTGGACAAAGTGTTTTGAACTGTGTTTGTGTTGTGTGTGTGTTTCTCTCCAGGCCAGGATAGCGTTCCTGCAGGGGGAGAGGAAGGGCCAGGAGAACCTGAAGAACGACCTGGTTAGGAGAATCAAAATGTTAGAATACGCTTTAAAGCAGGAAAGGTAAGAAACGGGTCTTAATGCTCTGCTTACTTTTCCAGTCTTACTATTACTCATATCGCTGCTAAGAGTTAGTATGTTTTTGATTCTGCCTTCACTGACTGACTCTGACAGACAGCAACTGTATTCATTTCTGGATCAGTGTAGAATTATTACATTAATGTCATCCTCTGTGCTCATCGATCAGTCGGCCCTGATTTCCTTCATTTTGGGAGTCTGGTTGATACTGGCATGAGAAACCAAAGTTATCCATCGATCTTATCTTCATCCACAAAGGTCTGAAGATCAGCCTCTGTCACTTTGCTCTGCAGAGAGAGAGACTGCTTCAGATCACTCAGCCTTCCTGGTGTTGTCACTCTGGTTCTGGAGAAACCATTTAGATCCTGATGGATCGGTGATGTTGGCTCTTCCTCACAGGGCCAGGCTGCTTCGAGCAGCTTTTTACTCACAAATGAAATGATAACCTGACATTATTATTATGTTATATTTCCTCAAGTTATATGATGTCAAAATGTGTTTGATGAAAATATGGGAGTATATCTACATCTATGTGGAAATATTATCTGTAATCATTGTGTGTGACGGTAACATGACAGATTAATTAAGGTTATTCTTTGTTTCTCCTTCTCAGAGCAAAATACCACAAGTTAAAATATGGAACAGAGTTAAACCAAGGAGACATGAAGATGCCAATCTTTGAGTCAGGTAGGTGTTGCAGGAAGCTCAGCTCCAGCTGTGAACCTGACAGAAAGGCTCATCTTGTCTCTCTTCTCTCCTTGAAGACACCAAAGAGTCGGAGGTCTCTGCTGTCCCTGCCAACAGTCAGCTAATGTGGAAACAAGGCCGGCAGCTCCTCAGACAGTAAGACCCGTCCTTCAACCAAAGACCATGAGAGGATTTGTAGAGAAACTATATGACAACATCCCCACCACAATGAGTCAATGAACTAAAATTAAATTTGCATTTTGTATTTCCGATATTGTGTAGGAAGTGCTTCAGTTCCTACATTAAAAATTCGTAGAATGTGCCAGTTTTTTATCCGATTAATCACCAGAACCATTGATTACTAAATTAGTCATTAGTTTCGGCCCTAGTTCAGCTCTGAATCCACTGTGATATTATGTGTTGCATTCAGGTACCTTCAGGAAGTGGGATACACAGACACCATCTTGGATGTTCGCACTCAGAGGGTTCGCTCTCTGCTCGGCCTGTCGGGTTCTGAGCAGAACGGATCGATGGAGAATAAGAACCTGCAGCACCTGATCAATGGAACGGAGCGCTGCACAGAAACCAAGAGATACACACACACACACACACACACACACACACACACACACACACACACACACACATGTTTGTGTTGCTATCTTTGTGGGGACTTTCCATTGTCTTCCATTCATTTCTACAGCCTAAACCTTACCTTTACCCTTTTCCTAACCCTAACCAAAACTCAATTCATACCTTAGCCCTAAATCTGACCCCTGACCCAAAAACAGGGTTTCCCCTAGTGGGGATGAGGCTCCAGTCCCCACAAGGATCAATTGGTCCCCACAACGTAGTATATGTCAGGAAAATCGTCCCCACAAGGTATTACAAACAAACGCACGCACGCGCGCACGCACGCACGCACGCACGCACGCACGCACGCACGCACACACACACACACACACACACACACTTCAACCAGGCCCTCCTGCACCAGCCATCCATCCTCACCTCACTGTTACCTGGTTCTCAGAGCATGAGGGGTTAAAGTGTTTGCTCTGTGCAGGATTCCAAATGACAATCTGGAGACGTTCAACTTCCTAGAAAATGCAGAGGACAGTGATGAGGAGGAGGACGAGGAAGGAGACCTGATGGATGACATCAGCTCCGACAAACAACACAGACCTAAAAAACACAAGCCTAACGTAAGGCAGCTGAACTTCCTCCTGTTGGGTTTTTATGACATATCATTTCTGCTGGATGTGGTTCCTAAGATGGCTGACAGCGATACCAGCTGCAACGCACCAACGGCTAAACACACTGACGGAAAAAAACAAATGCAAAGAAAAACGCTGCAATCACAGAAAATAAAAGCAAAAATCTACAATCATCAAAACAAATGCAAATGAAAAATGCTGCCACCATAAAATGCTGCAACCACAGGAAATAGGAACAAGGAGGAAAATGCTGCACATAGTAAAAACAATTTCTAGTATGAAATGCTGCAAATTCGCTCCACTGCAAAGCTCCACACCACTAGAGGGAGTCAAACAAATAATCTTTTGGGACCAGACCATAGACATACACATGTTTAAGGTAAATAAGGGACCATGATTTCATGGGAAGTCAAGAACAACTTCATGTCTTTTTGAAACAAGCAGTCTTTATGCAATATTCTAGGATGTCTATGGGGATAACTTTACCAACTCCAGACTCTATGGTGGCATATTAGGGCATTGAGAAAAAGAAGGAAGAGTCATTTTAAACCAAAAAACTCAGAAGTTTTGAGATTAATTTCTGAGTTTTAAGGCATATGTTTATTCTACCACGTTTTTCTCCATCTTCAATGGCCCTAACACTCCATCGTAAGACTCCCCCTAGTGGTCTGGAGCGTTTCTGTTTTGTGGAGCAGCTTTCATATTTGTCTGTTTTTTTTTTTTATATATATTTTATTTCCTTTTTCTGTGTTTGCAGCATTTTTATTTGTTGTGTAAAGCCCTTTGATTCTATTTTATGAGATTGCAACATTTTTATCAGCAGCATTTTTCCACTGATTTTGTGTTTTTGAACTTGTGGCGCGTTTTGCATGTCAGCCTTCTATGTTTTTTTTTCTAGAAAATTTCTGAGGTTAATCTCAATTTTAGAGATTTTTAGCAGAAATGTACAGTTCTTTTTTTCCTATCTCCCCGGGCCGTTGTATTTTCCTGATTCTGCCTCCTTCCTTTCTCTCTCTGCCTGGCATGGTGCAGATAGGAAACGAGGGCCTGGCATCAGAGGACGACGCAGACACAGAGGAAGCCCTGAAGGAGTTTGACTTCTTGGTGACAGCAGAGGATGGAGAGGGAGCTGGAGAAGCTCGCAGCTCTGGAGACGGGACGGAGTGGGGTGAGACCTGTAGGAAACGCTCAGCTGATTAACGGTTTAGATGCTCAAATCAAGTAACCTTGTAAAGAATCAAGAAAGACTGTTCTTCAGACCTTCATGTGTTATTGGCTTCAGTGACTTGAAGGCTGGTCCTGTAGTTTCTCTTAGATCTGCTGTCTAGAGCTGATGGGCTGTTTGTTTCTGCTCAGTAAAGTCAGACCTGTCTTCCCCTCCACAATGAGCTTCATTCCTGTAAACTAGATATTCTTTCATGTCACAGTCACTCTGTTAATCTGCTCCTCTGTAGATGTTCTGCACAACTGATGCCTTAAAGCTTAAATTGTCTAATTTCATCTGTCAGAAACGGCTTAGTTTCCACAGTGAGGCTCCGAGTTGTCAGACTCGACTCTGAAGGACTTCCTGTTGATCAGAGAAGCTCCACAGCTCTGCTGAGTTTCATCTCTTTGACTGGAGCTCAGAGGAGCATCCAGAGCCTTCAGACAGCTTTTCTACAATATGACTCACAATTTTTATAGTTTGGCTGATACTCAATATGCAAACGTTATATTTTTCAGATTAAAAAAAAAATAAAGTTTATAATTTTCCTTCCACTTCATAACTACGCTCTACTTGCTGCCACATAAACAACAATATGAACATCAAAGTTTGTGATTTTGACGTGAAAAACTATATCAAACTCTAGAGAGGCATGAAAACCTCTCTGTCTCTTTCCTAACTGCCTTGTTCAAATGAATCTGATAGAAAACAAATATGTACTCGCATGCTTATGATGATTTATGTCAATTTATTATAGAAGAAGATTAGGGTCACTAGAAAAATAAGAATTCTTACTTTAGTCTCAGAATTCTGACTTTAATCTTCTGAGATTAGACAGAATTCTTTCTTTTTCAGTGGACTAATCCTCTTCCGTACTTTATGTATGAGCCTTGAAAGCATGTCCAGAGACTCATTAGTACATTTCCCATTAAACCTAGTAATGAATATGTAGTTCTGTAATGGGTTCCCTTTGTCTGCAGCAGATGTTTTATTCGGTCCGTGTCCGTCTGAAGGTGCTGAATGTTTCAGACGCTCCCTGTGATCCTGGAAGGACGCGGCTTTAGTTTCAACTCTTGTTGAATCATTTTTCTCTTTGCAGCGGAACCGCTACCATTTCCCTCCGGTGGGGGGAAGTCCTTCCTGCTGGGGGGGCCGGACGACGTGCTGGAAAGCGTGTTGGGTTTGGGGGACCTGGCAGACCTCACCGTCACTAACGACGAGACGGACTTTGGCTACGATGTAAGAAAACCAGTTCAAGTTGTACTGGGAGAGAAAAATGTAATGGACAAAATCCCACTGTCCCTCTGCGTCCTTGTGTGTCCCTGTGTGTCCCTCTCTGTCCCTCTTTGTCCCTGTGTGTCCCTCTCTGTCCCTCTTCGTCCCTGTGTGTCCCCACCAGCTCTCGTCCAGTAAAGAGTCTGCGTTCAGGAAGACGTGGAACCCTAAGTACACGTTGCGGAGCCACTTCGATGGCGTCCGGGCGCTGGCGTTCCACCCCGTGGAGCCCTGCCTGGTCACCGTGTCTGAAGACCACACCCTGAAGCTGTGGAACCTCACCAAGACCGTCCCAGCCAAAAAGTATGCTGACTCAGCACAACACCTTTTCTCTACCGTCGTTCATAGTTACATCAGATGCAGGCTTTCTTTAACACAACTCGGTACAGGAGAATCATAAAGCTCATTCATTTCAGTCATTTAATCTAAACTCACACAAACTCATTTCACACAGCGATGATGTTTTGATCATTTTGACGTTTTTCTTTTAACGTTCCATTTATATCAGATGCAGCCAGCACTTTGTGAACAAACTGCATCTCTAGTCAGTTTCAGTTTTAGCAAATATGTAAAAACCACATTTTTTAAATAAAAGCATCACAGTTTTAAAAGCTCATTTAAGAAAAGGAGAGCAGCAGCCATGATGAGCCGAACACCGACCTGGATCTTCTCTCTGTTTCAGAAGTGCCTCTTTTGATGTGGAGCCCATCTACACATTCAGGGGTCACATGTAAGTATCCTCACTCCTATACAGACACACACGCGTGTTTTTGAGGCTTGTGGGGACGTTACTTTGACTTCCTTTTGTTTTCTACTACCTAACCCTTACCATCACATATCCAACCCGAAAACAGCATTCCCCCTCATGGGGACCAAGAAAATGTCCCCTCAAAAAGCAGTGGTTTTGAAGTGTTGACAAGCCAGGCTTTCTAAATTCTTCCACTTCACTCAAAAGCTCCAGCTGAATAAAACAGATTTGAGCCACAATCTGGAGAAGAGTATGGAGTTGGTTTTCAAGGTGTGGGTTAGGATGGAGAAAGAAAGCTGAAGTTTAGAACATCATGTTTGTGACTTTATTCCAGGTCTGGTCGTCAGCATGCATCCAGCCAGATCTCAGTAGAAATATCTGCAATAAGTTCACAGAGAACTTTTTTTATTCCTCCCTCAATATTGGCCCTAAAATGAACAAATAATAATTCTGCTTATTTCAGGAACTTGATCAATTCCCAGAGCATGATGCTGCCATCTCAGTTTTTTACTGGGGAAACTGTGTTGTTTCAGTGATGGTGTCCATTTATGTTAAATATTTTGTCTTGGAAACATTTGTTTTGTCAGATCATAACTCGCTTTCTGAGGTTTGGGATGGTTTCATCCAGATACTGAGATTTTCTTTCAGAGTTCTGGAAACAGATGGTCACATGTAGATCGCTGGCATTATTTGGAAATATTCCTGCTGTTTCTTAAGTTTAATTAAATGGGACTTATGTCCACTTAAAGGTGAAAAAAATATTCTTGTGTATTACAGAAACCTGGGATTTTAATAAAAGCTTTGTTCCTCATTTTCACTGCAGGTTCTATTGTGTTTCTTGCATTTATATGAATTGTTTTCCATCTTATTGTTTGATTTTAACCAACTATTTTATGCTCAGTTTGTGATTATTTTTTTTAATAAAATTGTATTAGAAAGTTTTTAAAATATGAGAGAAAAAGGTTTCAATGGGTTAAAGTTTTGAACTTCATCAGAGTAACAGCAGAGATCTGCTGAAGAGATTCAACCTTCAAAGCAGAAGAATCCAGCCTGGTTGTTGAAAGATCACCATAACTTACCGTTATTAATTGAGAGTTTATTTCCTGAAGAATATTTTAATTTATTTCCGTCTTTTCCTTCCAGCGGCCCGGTTCTGTCCTTGGCGATGACCTCCAGCGGTGAGCAGTGTTTCAGTGGAGGCATCGACTCCACCATCCAGTGGTGGAACATCCCCAGCTCTAACGTCGACCCCTATGACACCTACGGTACTGATGTGATCCACTGGATCACTGCCGATCAGCTCCCTGTTCTCTGCTCTTTCACATTTAGATCAGAAACTTTGGATTTCTGCACAATGTTGAGTGAAAAGTTTGACAGTCTGCCATCTTAGAAAACAGTTCTTATTGTTCTGATCTTCTTCAAGCTCCTTTCTGAGTCTTTAGATGAACTAAACACAACAGCTAACGATTACTTCAGGAATCAAGTAATCAATTATTCTGATAAAATCGAATAAAAAAGTTGCTACATTCTGGAGATATTTTTATTTAACCACTTAAGTCTTTTGTACAATATTAGAAATACATTAAAATGTGGTGATAAATAATTAAACTCCTGTTTTAAATAAGACTTATTTTACTGGCTAAAATGTAATAACAGCATTCCTTTAGTGAACTCTTGATCATTTGTATCAAAGGATGAATCAGCAGCTAAAAAATCCTTCTAATATGAACATGTGAGAAGCTCAGGCTGGATTGATCAATACAGTGTAGAGCTGATCTGTTGATTATATTTTGGATCAATTGATTACTAATTAGTCAGCAAAAGGTTATCTTTTATAGGATATTTGTTTTTACAGCATTTAAATCAGATAAAGCTAAAACTGATTACTAAATTCAATAATCAATTCATCACAATTGATCCATTGAATCGTTTCAGCCTGAATGGAACATGAAAGCTTGATGAAGGTCCATCAGGACCAATCTGCAGCTCTGTGTGATGTCATCAGAAAACCTGAGATCAACTGTGTCTAAAAGCCTCCCAGCTTAAATCTGCAGCTTTTCTACGTTGTTTTCTACAGACACATTGATTCATTAGTTCTAATGACCAGAAAGTTGGATACACTATTCTTTATTTAGCGAAGTCAGTGAAGAAACGGTTCAGATGGTGCCTTAAAGTGAAATCAGAAGTTAAGTTGTAGCAAAGCAAAAAATCCCTCCTATAGTTTCCTGTTGTGCTGCTGGCAGATTGCAGCGTCCTGGCGGGGTCGCTGCTGGGTCACGCTGACGGCGTGTGGGGATTGGCTTACAGCGGCATCAAGAACCGCCTCCTGTCCTGCTCTGCTGATGGAACCGTCAAGCTGTGGAATCCCGTGGAGAAAGACCCCTGCATCAGCACTTTCAACACAAACAATGGTGAGAGGCAGATTACACCAGATTACACTAGGAACGCACCGATTCACTTCTTTTCACTTCTGATACCAATATCGGAGGTGTAGTATCGGCTGATACCGATCTGATACACAAAAACAGCTGAACTGACTTAAAATGTTTCTTTTTTAAACACAGACATGTATCCTGAAATACAAATTAATCTGCTGACTCTGCACCAGAATAGCTAAATACACTGACAGCTTCACCAGCTAGTCAAACATGGAAAAACAACTTTCATTTGTTCAGTCAGTGCAGTTAGGAGTAGAACAGCCAATGGAAATTAAATAACAAAGAAACTGAAACTGATAAAAACAATAGGTTGACTATTTGGCCAGACATGTAAAAATAAACTGAAACAAACCAGAAAGAGCAATTATGAATTATAAATATAATGTAAAATATTTAATAAATCATGACTCAGAGCACAAAGCATAGAATTAGAGTGAATAGATCTGCCTTTATGGTTCGGAAACATTGCCACAATACCCAATCTAGATTTTTTTCTAGATCAGGACCAATACAGATATTGATATTGGATCGGCACATCTTTAGATTATACCAGATTAATTATGAGTTCATCAGAACGGAGCAGGAAGTAACTGAGCAGAACTTCCTGCCTTGCTTCCCTCTCTGCAGAGCATGGAATCCCCACCGCCGTAGACTTTAACGGTTGTGACCCCGCCCACATGGTGGCGTCCTTTAACAACGGAGACGTGGCGATATACGACCTGGAAACATCCCAGACTGCACTGGTGCTGAAGGGTCAAGGAGACAGCAGTAAGGTTCACTCTGGTCACTGACGTTCATCTCCATAACAACCTGTCACTGCTGACCTTTCCTCTCCTGCCCCGCTCAGCCGTCCCGGGTTTGAATCACATCAATAAAGTGGTGAGTCACCCCACGCTGCCCGTCACCATCACGGCTCATGAGGATCGCCACATCAAGTTCTTCGATAACAAGTCAGGTCAGTCTGCTGACCGCCGGGTTCCACCTGGAGCAACACAAACAGAGGGGATTTTATTGACTTATTTTTATTTTTTATCACTTTTATTATTTTGTCTTAATATACTTATTGTTCTATTATTATGACTTTTAACAATATTATTGGTCTCATCTTTTGTCAATTTATAAAGTGGGACACATACAGCTGCAGGAGAGAGGAACAGAATGTCACCATTTGTTGTTTAAAAAAACCCTGAAAATTCCACACAGTCTGTAAACGCATCATGACTCACTGTCACATGACCAGCCTCTTTCTGTTCCTCCATTAGAAAGAAACGGCAGCAAGATGGAAACAAACATCAACCCAGTTTTATTTGACTGATAGAGAATGTTAAAGAATGACTAATATCATTACCACTGATATCAGTCACTAATGTTATATGTTATATAATTTAACACTGATATAACATACATTCCTACTCCTAATATAAGGAATATAACAGATTTAATGAACTCAACAGGACTTCAAATTTAAAATGAAATGATTAATCCCAACTATACAGAAGATGTAATGTATACGATAGATCCTTTTTGTGTGCAGGAAGGATGTCCTGCAGCAGTCTGTGTTGCATTTTATCTAAAGAGGCTTCTAACAGAAGACACTGTTTAATAATTCTCTCATAAAGAGGACACTCTGGTTTTTTTTTTTTTTTTAATGAAATGTTGAAGAGATGTGATCTGCTCCAGCTTTCAGGCTGGCTGCTGGTAGCAGGGAGGCTAAAAAACACTTCACATTGTGATGGATGTGTCTCTAGAATAAATGGGTTTTACTAAAACTTGTGAGGTGAATTACTGTGACGTTACATAGATGAATTTTCAGCCCAATCTGAAGGAGTTTGTCCTCTGTGCAGGTAAAATGATCCACGCCATGGTGGCCCATCTGGACGCAGTGACCAGCCTGGCCGTGGATCCTAACGGGATCTACTTGATCTCTGGCAGTAAGTCTCCTAACGTCTCATAAAGCTCAGAGCGATTCCAGGTGTGAAACTGTTTCTAACAGAGTCTTTTTAAAATGGTTGGGTTGTGAAGCTGCTGGTGTGTTAAATGTGCTGAACTGCTGCAGAGTTAACAAGTGAACGTGTATAAATTAATGTCTGTTTAAAAAAGAAACATTTTAAGTTGATTCAGCAGTTTTTCTGTTTCGGCTTGGTATCGACCAATACTAAACCTAGTGGTACCGGTAGTGAAGTCAGTGGATCGGTCCGTTGCTGGAACCATGCGGAGTGAAGCGGTGGTTCGGTCGACAACATGTCTCCTCTCCTCCGCCTCAGGTCACGACTGCTCCCTGCGGCTCTGGAACCTGGACAGTAAAACGTGCGTGCAGGAGATCACGGCTCACCGTAAGAAGAGCGAAGAGGCCATCTACGACGTGACCTTTCACCCATCCAAAGCCTACATCGCCTCGGCCGGAGCCGACGCCCTGGCCAGGGTCTACGTATAGAGGAGAGGAGCAGCGCCGCGCCGTGGGCTCCTAGTCAGACGGAGCCAGGATTCAGGTCTGTTCACATCCATCTGAAGGCGGCAGCAGACTGAGACGCCCACACACACGCAGCCGCCCCGTGCCACCGCCGCCTTTGCCCACTGAATGGAGCACGTCTGATCTGGCTGATCAGCTCCCTCTCTACGGTGGTGTCCAGCAGGCTAACCACGGCCAGCCTGGCCTCCTCGTCATATTCAACTCTAGTGCAATCTCCACATGTAGACGTAGGAACGTTAAAGGAAAAATCCCCCCAAATGCAGCTGATGGGTGGAGCTGCTCCTTTCTGCTCACAGATTCCGTCCATCCCATGAACTCTTTGGCTCAGTCTCCATCACTGTTACTTCCTTATTTGTGCCATGGTCAAACATTGCATTATGGGATATTTAGTTTTAAAACATCCACTCACAGTAAGGCAGTCGGTAAATTAGTTTAAATGTCTAACAGTGATCTGTGTTTTCATCGTCTCAATGGTTCTCAAGTTCAAAGGATGAATTCTTTACATTTTACTGTTACAAGTGTAAGTGGCTGCAGCAAGACATCTGCAGTCAAAACGACCTTTTTGGTCCTTTCAGTTTTCCGTAGTGACAAAGTTTCACTTGGAAGAATCAAGTCTGAAATGATTAACTTTATTATTGCTTTCATATTATTCTGAGTGAAGGATAAAGTTCTCACTGCCTTTCAGACTCATTCAGCCTCAGGAGGTTTTACAGTGAGGCTTAGTGAACGTCTGCTGGGTTTAAGGTCAGCTACGTTTACTGAAGAATCCATCTTCAGATAAAGTCAAGGCTCATCAAGCTGTCTTCTTAGAGAATAGAGAAATGATGAGGAAACGTGTCTGATCAGACCAACACCAGGGACAGATCTGGTTTAGTGATGCAGCAAGATTTAAACTGTTACTTCTGGTTTTACCAGTTCTTCACAACTTGGTATGTAGAAACTCAGTGTTTCGTCTTAAACAGTTCTGTCCTCTAACAGAACCTTCTGCTGATTTTTCATTCAGCCTGAAGAACCAAAGACTCTGACAGCAGGGATCATGAAGGGAGACGGATCTGAAGTTTTGAAATGGGCTTCTGTGGAGAGTAGGGACCAATAATATATTTACCAATATTTTTATATATATTTCCTACGTGTTTCAATCCCATGTAAAAGCAACTACAAGGTCTCTGTGGCACTGCTCTAACTAAACTCCCCACAGTCCTGCACTACTTCACTGTCACATGACTGAAAGAGGCCGACAGCGTTCTCCTGAAACACAAACAGCAACTAGACAGCAGGAAACATCAGTTATTAATCAGCCCAGTTTTATCGGACAGATACCAATATGATAAAAAGTGGCTAACATCGGCTGATATTGATACCAATATATTGTGCATCCCTAGTGGAGAGTTCCTAATCAGTAACCATTCTACCAGTCCATCTGACTGGTTGGGTCTTTACATAACTGTGCTCACATGATCTAACCAGTGGTTAGCCAGAAATATAATTCTGGTTTTAATCAAAGTGAAATGTTATTCCCAATCAAACTGTGTGAAAGCTTCACAATTTTAAGACACACTGCTGCAGAATTCAGTCAGCTAGCACTGAAATGCTGCAGCAGTGACTCAGTAATAAGAATATCATGCAACACTGAACAGTTTCTGATTAAGCTAATCAGCTGACACATTTTTGACCAAAATCATTTACCTTCAGCCCCTAGTGGGGCTGTTTTTAAAAAAACAAAGAACAAGTTGGCGGCTTCACAAGGAAACGCAAAGACACGTCCTGACTCTATATCAGGATTTCTACACCGTTTATTCTGCAGTTTATGAAGCAACATAAACTGCAGAACAAGAGAGATACTGAACGTTCTCCACTGCAGGGAAGATATTGACTACTCTCAACATAACCCCACTTCAAAAAGCAGATGGTTGTTTTCTGCTGCATCTGTTATTGACATCTTTATGAAACACTTAAAGTTCATGTGCTGCTTCCTGTTTTTATGAGGACACTAGAAAGCTCAGGCTGGAACTGACAGGTTGAGTTGCTGCTGCCCCTAGTGGTGTGGAGGTTCAGTTTAAAGAAGTTATCTTTGAGAAAAAAAGTCTTTTGTCAGCAATCTGTGACTGAACACTTGCCTTCACAGTGGTAAGCATTAAAGTGCATCAGTAGTGTGTAGAGGAACCAGCAGGGGGTGCTGTTATCTATCAGGACACTAAAGAAGCAGAAGCGCTACATGATCTGAACTAATCACGACAAATAAAGCCAGTTTGTTTAATGTTCATATCTAAAAGTTTGGGTAATTATTTTTCATGTAACTTTCTGAAGCTCAGCCTGAGAATCACTGAACCTGACAGACAAACGGGGGATTTTTCCTTTAAACCTACAGAGACAAAGTCTGGACTGAAGTGAACATCTGATGTTTGATCTCATGGTTTCTCTCCTTTTTTTTAAAAAAAGAAAAATATTTAAATGTGCTGATGTTGCCAGGAAAATGTTTTAGCAGCTGTACAGTTTTGAAGAAATTTAAATTAAGAAATGAAAAAAAAAACAAAACAACATGAGTGAGTTTATGTGTTGGAAAACCTGCCGAACGATCACGGTTGGTGAAATGTCTGATGGTGTGTAAATCTGACGAGGGTGGAGCTGCTTGGACCGCCGAGCGCAGCCCTGCGTCTAAAGCTGAGTATTTTTGTTTGTGTGAAAGAAAAAAAAAAGGTCTAGTTTTTATAATCCTTTTTATAGAAATATTGTTACTGGAGCGGAGGAGCTGTCCTATCGGCCGTCCCAGCGCTCACAGATTAACTGTCGCTCGGTGACTCTAACTTCACTGCCACAGATTAAAGAGCTGAAGTCACACGGAGGAAAGGAGAACGGTTCAGATGAAACACACTGGATGGATGGTTTAATAAGAACCTAAACGTTATTGAAATCAGGTATGTAAGGAACAGACACAGGTCAGCACCATGTCATGCTGTTAGACAGCAGCTGCTCTCACACCGGTGTTATGACACCTCTGGTCCTGCTGGGAAGAATTAACGTCCGATTACAGCAGCAGAGCCAGAAATAATCTGCTGTTCTCATAGTTCAGAAAGAGAAATCAGATAAAATGAGTGTCGAGTCAAAGCTTTAGAAACTGGCCACCAAATCCAGATTCTCCCTCTGGAGCTGGAAAAATATCAGTCTGACCTAAAATACCTGATCTGATTATATAAATGGTAGAATGACGTTTCTTCTGACTTTTTACATCAAAAATATCTGAGATATGGATCCAAACTGTAAGCTCAATGTCTAAAGCAGGGGTGTCCAAAGATTTTTGTGTGGATTGAGAATTTTTATTTTTAATCAGGGTAAAATTATTACCAACATAATTTTCCTATAATGGAAAATGTAAAGTGCAACATTCATTTTTACAACCAGGCCAGTATAATAAGCAGAACCTCGTCTATCCAGAGACTTTTACTTCCTGCTGAACCCAAATCATATTTTTGAAACTATTGACAAGCATTTTGAGACACAAATCCTGTTCTGATTACAAACAATAAATTGTTCAATAAATCTGTCCAAAGCCCAAAGAATTGGGAAGCTGATGTCTTAATATAGCAAACGTGTAAAATCCTTTAAGTTTTGGATCTACGGTGAATAACATCTTTTTCCTGAAAGAAAAAAAAATCTGACCACTTTATTTGTTGGACTTTAGTATTTCTTTTTTTATTTCTTGGCCTGTGATTACTTTTGAGAGAAGGTTTGGACGCCCCTGGTCTGAACCACTGAGTCTTTATTTCCGGTGTTGCTGATCCGACTGAAGTCGTTTTCCAGTGACGAAACGTTTAGTGACCCGCTCAGCCTGAACCCAGCTGTGGTTCTTCAGGGCCGACCGACTCCTCTTCCTCACATCACCTCTGTCAGTGTTTGGCTCCTGTGTGTTTCTGCAGATGTTACTGACCTCACACACACACAGACACACACATCTGGAGTGTGTTTTTAGCAGAAAGCAGTCCATTGGAGCTCCTAGAAAAAGTGGTCTTTGAGTAGCCATCTTTTAGGATGTGACTTACTTCATTGTTGTGCTTTGTTCTGATGCACAGTTTTAGTTTGACTTTTTGTTTGTTTGAAGAGTTCCTAACCTGAGTGGCTTCTGGTTGATCACAAGTCCAAATAAATGCTTTTGTTTTAAATAAGACTAAGATCAACTTTTTAACTCTGTGTGTCTGAAGCATGGTTAATCCAATAAAATATTTTTTGTAGTCTTCCCATGAAAACAAGAAAAATGCAGTTTAGATTATTTTTTTTTTTATAAACTGAACAACCGTTTTTCAGAACTGTACCACAGAGCAGAATACAGCAGTTAATGTATATAAAATGTCTATTATGAGTAATAAATGTTGTACCTGTACAGTTTGCTGCTTCACTTCTTGTGTGGAGTCTATTACTGTTCTCCAGCAGAACGCCAAGAAAAGTTCTAGAAGTTTCCGTTTTTCTGTCCTGGTTTCTTTGTAATGACTAAATACATTTTTGGTTTTTACCTTTTTCACACTGAAAGTTGGCGTCTGGTTTGCTGCTACTCAGAGAAAAACTGCTGGTTTTCTCTGGTTTACTCTAATGACTCGGAAGCAGCAGCGACTTCAGACTGTTCAGGTTTATTAGACATGAGTGGATGGAGCAGATTTACAAAGAAATATTTAGTACATTTACAGAAGAGAGCCGATATAAAACAGAGGTTAGCTAGGAAACAGGAGGATCGGTTTTATTGGTGCACAGGTCACTTCTGTCCAAGTTGAGAGAGCTGAGAAAAAAAAGAAAGAGGTGGTCAGCAGGGGGCAACAACAACAACACACATACACACACACACACCACAGTCATGCAGCAGGTGAACAGTAGAGGTGTGTGTTCTGACCTGCTTCATGAACTGAGCTGCGTTGAAGAGCTCACTGCAGCCGTAAACCACCTTCCTCCCAGGTTTTGACTGAAAAATAAAAAAAGACCAAGAGGATTTTTACGTAGTTAGAAAGCAAAACATCGAGACAGGAAATAAATCCACAGTTTCCTGAACATTTCTAGCACAGCTGGTAAAATGTAACAGAAGAGGAACCAGCCTGGTCATCTTCAGGTTTGGACCCGGTTCTGACTCTCTGGGAATTCTGGCCCAGCCATCGTTGATGGTTTTGTGAAGACGACTTTTTTTTTTTTTTTTACCTTACAGAACGACTGATGACCTGACATACAGAGCTGTGAAAAAGGATTTGCTCCCCTAGAAGTTACAGTGGACCAGGTAACTGTATGAACAAGAGCATAACTTGGCACAGATGTTCCTAGGGAATTATTAAAAGATAAATAAATAAATAAAAACGTTAGCCACTGAAAGATGGCGGCCATTTTCCAAGATAGTTCTTGACAAGATGAATAGTTCTGGTGTTGAATCATAACATAACTGGAGCCAAAGAAACCACGTTTTGATTTTTCCACATGGCCCCACATTGTCGTGGAAAATATGTTTTTGCACTAAAATTGCCAATTAGACATTTGGTGTCAAATCATAGCCACATATTTTGAATCATAGAAATCATATTTATATTTTTGGTTATGTGTTTCCTTGTTCTGGTGGAAATTTTTCAAAATGGCTTTAATGGAGAATGTTTAAACTACAAATCAGCTAATTGTAGAAGGCTACAATTAGCTGATTGTGGAGATGGCTAACCAAAACGTTAGCTTCATGAAATACTAAATTTGTAAACAAGAATCTTAGCTCTGCTTATGTGGCTAACCTTAGCGTAGTCCACCAGGTTCTGGTACTCGATGTAGTTTCCTCCTCCAACCACAAACACGATGGCCTGAAACACACAAGATCTCACTGAGGCATAGAGGAAAGCAACACACACATCCAACACATGATCACGGCCATGTGGACAACACCAAATAGGTTATGTTTAAATAAAAAGGAAAAAACAATCAACATCAGAGGGTTGTGGTTGCTTGGTGACCAGTTGAGTTCAAAGTTCAATAATTCTGATCTGTATTGGTTTTCTGTAATATGCTGCCAACTTTAAAATAACATTGATGGAGGTGATCTACCATCTAACTGACCCTTTATACTAAACCTCTAACTTTCTGACTGTAAATCCATCTTGTTCTGGGAATGAAAAGGAATCCATCATAGTTCCAGACACTAAACGTACCTCCTGAAATGGATTTTTGTTCCTGGGAATGGAGCTGAAAAAGAAGTGAGTGAGTTATGAGACAGTCCGCACAGCGCCGTCTGATTCTGCTCATCTGTTAGGGGAGTTGCTGATTCTTGTCCTACCTCTCGCTGCCCCGCAGCATCTTTGGGTCAAAGTAGCGATAATCATCAGTTTCCTGAAAGAAAAAAAAAATATCAGAAACAGAGAGATGAAAATTATGAAAACGCTGTAGATGCACACCTCCTGCATTTTGAACTAGGGATGAACAATGTATCTCTTAACATACTGATATCAGTCCAAAAATAAAACTGGGCCAAAATGAACAAAAAATATTTATTTTTCATCTTCAGCAAAGCAACAAAAACTCACAGGTTGAGATTTCATTTCCATCAGGTTGTCCACAATCCGAGTGACTGGAAGGTTCTGAAGACAACACAAGTTGTTTAAGTTTCAGTAACACTTTTTTGTACACATATACATGACAATAAAATAACCAGACATATTGTCCAGGTTCAGTTAAAGCACATTTGTTCATGTCTAAACTTGACTGATACTGTTAAATACAGAAATGAAGACTGATCTAAATAAGTCTTCATGACTTCCTGCCATCTGATGACAGTTTTTGGTTTTTTTGCTAAACATATTTGACTCACATGCTGTTTGAGCCCCAGGTTCTTCACTCCCTCCATGACAAACTGAGAGCCAGTGTTCATGACTCTGGAGAACAGCCTGAAGCAGCAGAGGAGGACAGCGTTATGCTAACGTACTTCCTCTAAGGAGCTTCAATCAGGCAGCTAAAACATCAAATACATGAAGACTTAAGCTTTCCTCAAGAAAAGTACCCAAAACGAAAAACAGCAGCCATGTTTCAGACACTGTTTGGAAAGTTTTTCTTCTTAAAGTGAGTAGGTAGAGCTTATATTCATGAGTGCTCAATAGTCCAGGTATTACGATATTATTTTTTTAAGCCTTCTTTCGTGAAATATAGTAAAATAAAGGTGAAAGGTTGTGCTGTGACTGTAAAACTTTTAATCAAGTAATTGCAAAATCTGTAATTAATCAGATTTTAATCAAAAACTATATATCAACAAAAATAAGCAACATTGGAAATACTTAAAATCTAATGTCCGAAGTAAAATCCTTATCAGTACGAATAAAACAGGCTGGCTGAACAGAACACTGTAAGAATGAGCAGCAGAGTGAAGGCCGGTTACCCCATCGGTTTGACTCCACTGTTGCCATAGTTAGCTGGGCCGGAAGCCATTTTGGTAAACGCCCTGAGGAGAAACACAAAAACACAAAGTGAGCAACCAACACAACCAACTTTACTTTTAATGTTCCACCAGTGGAACAAAGAAACACAAAGAACATTTTCGCTGTTTACAAATTTGTCACAAAATTCAGGAGATGCTGATTGAAGATCCCTTTATACTTCACAGGAACAGAAAAATGTCTCCTCACTGCCGGAGCTGCAGGGCTAAAATAACAGCACTCCTGTTTCAGAGCTCTTCAAGAATATTTTCTTAAATGAGTTTCAGAGAAATATGAAGGTTGTGTGCAGCAGTGGGAGAGATAATGAGGGAGTCCTGGGTCTGGGTTTTTGTGCAGTATGAAAACATTGTGGCCAGAATAACTTTGTTCTCGCCGTCTCAACGCATTTCTCTGCTCTTGAGAAACCAATATTTAAACCATAACCACCACAAACAGCCAATCTGTGATCAAACTGTTTGGAGGATTTATCTTTATTAAGCTAATTTATTTTTATCTTTGTATAGTGACTTCATGTCAACTCAATCAATATTCAACAGTTAAATGTTAAAGTAACAGACGGAGAGAAGCTAAGGACTTACTTCCACTGTTTAATGTAGTTTAGAGGTGAAAGGTCACAGTCTGCGTCCAACAAAGCCTTCCTGTACTGCTCCAAATCAGACTACGAAAACACACACAGAGCAAAGTTACTAACATGGACATTAGGATTTCTCACAGCTTTAGAACCTTATGGCAGAATTTAAAGGTCTTAGCGCCGTCAGTATCCCTCATGAAGGAGAACAACTTCCTGTTCCAGGAAAACCGTTTATCCGCCACTGCCGGTGGCCATGGAACTAGCTTGAGCATTCAGAACGGGTTCTGTCATGGTGAACTAGTTGTAGCGTAACAGAGAGCATTGGGGAGGGTGTGAGCAGCAAACATATGAAGTGATTGACAGCACTAAGACCTGCCCCCTGGCTCTGATTGGTTGTTTTTGACTGTATTTCTGCAGATGGCAGCAGGACCACAGGGAAAAGACAGAGGAGCTCCTGTTAAGTTGTAAGTAGCATACTCCGCATGTGTGAGATGTAAGGTAGTGGGAGGCGGGGCTAGAGCTGTAGTTTTTTCATTCTGTTGTGTGAGGAGTGCGGGAGCGCATGTTGTTAACTGTTAATGGCGACCATTAAAGTGTGGATGCTAAGGTCAGCAGTGTCATTATTGAGTCAACAGCTCCATTTGACCACCGATTCTCTGACTCATGTTAAACTGTCACAACACAGTGACAATTTAACAAATATGTAAAAAAACAAAAACAAAAAAAACATATTTTATAAAAGTTACATAGTACAGCTTTAATGCCAAGTGTGTGACCAAAGGACAGTGTGCTGGGCAGAGTGTTACCTCTGAAGGAACCTGCTGAGCTGTGATGTAGTAGATGAGGAAGAGTCTCATTTTATCCTCTGGAGTCCCCGCTGTCCAACAGAAACATTCACACACACAGTCAGTACATCGCTAACATACAACATGTACAAACATTTATAAGGTGAGTGTCTGTGTGTATGTATGTGTGTGTGTGTGTGTGTGTGTGTGTGTGTACCGTCTGGGTCACCGATGACGTCCAGCAGTGACTTGTCTATGGTTGATTTGCTCATCAGCTTCTCTTCATACTCAAAGTAAACATCCAATTTACGACTCTGAGGACAAAAACAGAATGAAGTCAGTATGAAGGAGCAGATCTCGCACCTCATATCACTGAAGTACTGACACCAACAGTCTGACCCACTAGTTATTGATATATGTTAGAGAATATGCCTGTTTACAGCAATGACCAGGCATATTTTCTGATACAGCAAAAAGAAAAAGGACCCTTTTAATGTATAATGCATAATGTAATCTAGCTTTGATAAGAAGAATCTGATCCTTCTGATTTGTTTTTGTACTTTAGTGGATGTTCTGTCCTGGCAGCATGGTCAGGCATTATGGTGCACAGCAAAAACAAAAACCTTACCCAGGATTTATGTCAGGTTTCTGGTGAAAATGTCTTAGTACACCTGAAATTAGACAAAACTAACTGACAAGTACATTTAAAGCAAGATACAGGAGCTTGTTTTAAGTCAATAATTCTTTAATATTGATTAAAAAAATGCTAGCAAATTTTTCACCTATCACATGGGGGAAAAATATTTTCATAAGCTAAATAATCAGTCAGTGGATCAAGTACTATTTATCTATTGTCAAGAATTATTTACTTAAAACAAGCTTACAGAAAAGATACTTGTACGTTAGTTTTATCTCATTTCAAATGTACTAAGATATTTGACCTAAAAAGTAGATAAAAAAAACTTGGTAAGATTTTGGTGCTTTTGCTAAAAACTTTATAAGTTAAAGATCCCAAAACCAGGTAATATGTTGGTATGTTCAGGTTTCAAACAGCAGGCAGCCAGACAGCCTGCGGTACCTTAATGTGGTCAAGCACGGCAGTGGCAACGTTTGTGTGAAGATCAATCAGTCTTTTCTTCTCCAGGAGCTCAGGCAGAGAGCTGGAGACAACAGGACAATGGAGCAACACATTAATGCTAAAACTGACATTAAATTTCTCACCAGGGACATCTTTCTAAAGAAGTTATGCTTTAGACAAACACATTGTGTTGAACGTCTTCAAAACTGATTTAAAAATACAGACTGAGTATCAAACAGTGGGGAAGAAAGGAAGAAAAAGGCAGCTGAAATCCAAAATACACATTTGATTCTTTCTGATAGAACCTCTGATATAACCTGAGTCACGTAGCTCCAGGAGGACATTAGCAAAATGAGGAATGCCTTGTAATCTCTAAAACCTTTGGTTCAATTAGAGAATTTCATCCATTTGGGGAAAGGTACGTTGTAACAAACTCAAGCTTTCAGTTACTCAGCCCCTGCCTGGTCTTATTACTCTGATAGGATCAGCAATCCAGACAGATTTTTGATTCTGTGATTGCCGAAAATAATAAGAAAAAAATATATCAACAGATTCCTGATTTCTTTGCTCTAATGCAAGTGCTATTGCTCTAATTTTTACTTTGATGTGAGGAGAAGAAAAAAATAATAACAAAATTCCTTGCAAATATTTCTGAAGTAGCACCACAAAATGAGTGGTTATATTGCAAAAGACATAAAAATAAAAATAAATCACACAATACAATCAGGAAATCCAGGACGGTCTGGACTAGACTGAGATAACAACATAACATTTTTAAGACTTATTCTTTAAGAGCTACAGATGTGCTAAATGTAACTTCCTGTTTCTGCTCATTCTATGATGCTTCTATTAAGGCATCATCCTCTAAGCCAGTGGTTCCCAAACTTTTTCTTCTGCGCCCCCCCAGTGGTGACGGGGGGGGCATCGACTTTTTTGGGGGCAAAATGAATGTACGTAGCTGAAAATAGACACCAACATCGGTAGCCTACAAGGTACTTGTTAAGCTTGTTAAGCTGAAGGTTCTGTATTGATATTAGCTAGTCATCTTTTAGCTAACATTGCATCCAACAGCTTTACTCAACTCAGTCGGTTAGTTTGGAGGGAAAAACTGAAAAGTTCTTTGCGTTTTGCTGGTTTGCTGCCATGATTCTAACACAAACCTACGTAGCTCCACAGCAGCAGCAGGTCTCCTTCACAGGTGGAAACCCAGCGCGAGCGCCGTAGCGCTCATGTTGCGTTTAAAGGCGGCTCGGAAAAACAGGTTACAACATGTTAAACAGTTTTAACTGCTGATAAAAGTGACAGAGGACACAAATATGGGAAGTGTGGAAGCCTCTACTGTATCAAACTGACAGGAATAACAGAGAGTTGGCCATTCTAAGGTAAAAACCCAGCGCATACAGTGTTCATGTTTTTTTCTTTCATCCAGACGGCTTCCCGCGCCCCCCCTGCAATGACACGGCGCCCCCTCCAGGGGGCGCGCCCCACAGCTTGGGAACCTCTGTTCTAAGCAAAGTAACATGAATCTAGATGGAGATCCATGGACTATTAAAGCATGGCTCTCCTCTTCTCTGTTCCTTCTCACCTGACGGCTGAGGTGAGCTTGGCTGTGTTGTCTGACAGCATGCTGATGGCTCCTTCATCCTCGCCATCCAAACCCTGGACAAGAACACATCTGTCGTTAGTAAACTTCAATCAGTGTCAGACTGAAAGATTTCAGTAAAGAGTGGTTTTTAGGTGTTGCGCGTGTTTGTGTGAGGCTAACCATAATGCTTTTCAGCCGTTTGACCTCGTCTTCCTGGGCTCTGTATGCATCAAGCTCTTCCTGGACCGACTCTGCCACCTCTGGGAATGGACTGTTAGAAAGACAGCAACATAGCAACAGACAGGCAACAGGCGTTTTTTTATTTAAATAAGGTATAGAAACCAAACAGTGTCAGAAACCTCAGTAATTAAAGGGGCAGGTGGTGCCATTTTAAAGCACAATCAAGCAACTATGTTAACTTCAGCTGTTAAAAAAAATTCTATATACATCAAAAATTATATGTTATTTTTGATATATATATTGTACACTGTTACGTTGTAACCCTGTAGCAACATTTTTAATCAGCATTGTACTGAGAGGTAGCTCCTAAAACTCAGCAGATGAGCAGTTCCACCAGATGTTTGCTAATTGCTGCCGGCTAGTCTGAAGGAGGAGGGCTGCTCTGTGAGGCAGAAGCTGGGAAACTCAGAAACTGCAGCTCTGAGGAGGAGCTGTGTCTTGGAGGCGGAGCTAGGTCCACCCAGGTATTTTGCACAGATGAATGGTTGCCATGGAGCATAAAGGATTTATCAAACATGCACGAAAAAAAATCAAGGCAACATTCCAGGTGTGTTTTTGATGAGGGAATAACATTATAATATCTCCTAATACTCAATTTTACATGATACTGTCCCTTTAATGACCTCAGATATACAGAAAAAAAAATCACTTATTAACTTCAGGACAGAACAGAATCATCTAGTTCTCATCTAGACATTAAGGTACAAGCTACGTGAAATTTGAAGTCAAATTGTTCTAAACTTGATTTAGAAAATGGCGGTTAAAACTCCTGGTGATCTTTGTGAAACATGTTGTTTAGGAACTGACCTGCCCTTGTGCTTCTGCCAGAACTTATCAGCAGCAGTGAGGTCATACGTCTTCTTGGTCTTTTTCTTTGGTCTGGCGCCAGCGTGTGATGGATCGGTCCCCCCTCCCTCCTCCATCATCACCCTATTCAGATGGAAGTCCTGATGGACACAGAAAACAGGTCATGTTTAGTCTGCATGTCTACCAAGAGCTGAGACATTCTAAAAGGTTTTAGTATAAAACGGTTCAACATTAAAAAAAATTTTTAAATCACTGATTAATTGATCCATCTGTAAATTTAATTTTTAATGCAGTTTGTTCTGCATTACATGAAACATTTTACTCAGACAGGCCAACTCACCAGGACATCATGGATCAGGGCCTGATAGGTCCAGGTGTGGTGAAGGGGCGTGGCCATGTCCATGTTGCGGTCTGCTAGAACCAGAAGGGGCCTCTGGAAACTGGTAAGGACAAAATCCATCATGGGTTATGGAGATCACAGAGCAACATGTCTGACCTGTTACAGAACATCACATCATCTCTCTCTAGTAAACATCTTTTGTATTTTCAAGTTTCAGATTCAAACAATCAAAGTTTTTTTCAGCAGCTTGTATTTTTTGCTCAAATATTCAATCATTAGCTCTACGCTGTTGTTAAAATCAACCTAGTCCTGGGCAATAAATACATTTTTCTGTTTTTGAGAATTTAATTTTTGGAGAATCAGATTGTTTTTTTCCATCAATGCTCTCTGAGTTTCCACAATTCAGAGTGTTGTCAGGTCACACAGCAACTACTATCTATTTTGGCAAGTGTGTTTTACAGCTTCTATTTATTTCAACTATAAATTCAGGTCAACCCACAGAATGAAAGATTTAAATAATAGCAAGTTTTTAAATATATTTGCTGTCACTTTTTAATTGAAAAGTTTGGGATGTTGTTAAATTAAAATCAGAAATTAAATTTGGGATAGTAGTTCTGTCTCTCTTTTTCTCATAGTTCAGGTAGCATTTATTAACACTTTACAAATCCTCCATCACGTTCAGCCCTAAAGATCCATCTATTAAGTTATGCTTTCAAGCTAAATGTGCTAATGGTTGCTGATAAAGATAATAATTATGTACACAGAGTGAGTGAAAGATGAAAGCTGGTTCTGTTGATATTTACACTTCGGCACAAATCAGTTACAACAACAGTGACGGTACTGAAATATAAAATGCTAAACTTTAATAAAAAGTTAAAAAGTCACATTAGCTTCATTGTCGTTAATTTGAGCAACTCAACGATTGTAATGACTGATTAAAATCTAGTTTAACATAAAAAACATTCTACTGTTCACCGACCTGAACTGTCCGGCAGTCATACTGTCTCCGGTAAACAGACTATTTCTGGCGTCCCGCAGGTTCTCACGGAGCTTTTTATCCAGCTTCTGTACACACAACACAATATACACAAAATACATCGATCTGTTGGAAATTCTTACTAAACAAAATCAAATGTCTCCTGTTCAATACGGTATAATATCCCTTGAAAATGGAGAACTTAACTGCAGACACAGATAAGAACATAAAATAAAAACGAAAACTTAAAAGTGGAAAAGATTCACTGCAAATGCTTCATTCCTGAACATGCTAAGCTTCCTGGTCTGTTGAAACACATTTAGAGAGAAAAAAAATGACAGAGACACCAAACAATCTCTCTTTAACCCATCTATTCATATTCAAAGGGTTGAGAATATTTTTGGTTTAAATGATCAATTCATATGATAAAAAAAAAAGAAATTAGGCATATTGGAACATATCAGGAATGTAATTGGAAATGTTTAGCTTTCACAACACTTCCAAAACTTCCTCCAAAAGTGTCAGAAGGTTTCCAGCTTCTATCTGACAACTTACCACAGCCACCATCTCTGCAGCGTTTCCCCTGGGGCATCGGATGATTGGCACTGCACCTGAATCACAATGTCACATACCGATTAAATGTCAGAAATTTCATAAAGCTGGTTACTTTTTACCCTGCATCTAAACAGGAAAATGCTTTGGTAAAGGTGATCATAACATCTAACCATTATGCAACACGGAGGAATCTCAGCTTCCATGTTAGATCTCAGAGGTAAAAGGACATTTACAGCAAAACAAGAAGCTGATTTGAGATCATTGACTCCATGTACAGATAACTACGACTCAAACAATTTAACAATATATAATTAGTTTTATTAGTAGTACTTAAGAATAAATAGACAAATCTTTGAAAAACAGCAAACATTTACATGTTCCAATTTAAATGAAACAAGTGTTAAAAAATGTACGGATGATAATAGTCACCTATCTATTGCCAACTTAGCAACTTTGAAAAAAGTCAATATCAGCCAAAATCAGATTTGGAAGATCAGGCTTTATAAAGATCAGTGATCGGCCAAAAAGAAACTGCAATCAGTGCAATTCTTATATTTTCTTTCAATTTGCAAAATTAAATGTATATGCAACTTGATGGCATGGTTTCAGTTTATTACATCTCCTTTTTAAAATAAAGTGCATCTAAGTGCAGTCGCAGGTGATCAGTGTGCATTGTGTGAGTGATTCCTCTTCTTTAGCAGTATGTAATGGCACTCACCCAGAGTAACAAAGAAACAGAAGAGGCTGTCTACGATGGTGTCCATTATGGCCTCCATGTCTGTGTCTTGGATGTCTGCTCTGTTGATGGCTGCACAGGTAAGAAAGGCAGAGACGGCTTACATTAACTAGGCCAGAACTGTAACTCAGTTGTGTATGTGTTTTAGAACGTTGTTCAGGAAAAATGGAGCAGCATTGAGAAGTTTGAAAGGTCAATATTTCCTTTAAAGCAGACGTCAGCACAATGATTGTTTATGACCTCAACTGAATGCTGTTTAAATAACACCTCACTTTTGATTCCAACAGAGCCTTTATGCATAAAGTTGAGGTTAAATGATTACAAAAAATCCCACTCATATGACTGAGTGATGGTTGCCGTCTACAGTTACACCTCTGGACCCGAGTGTTGGAAAACATTTAAGACTCATCACATGTGTTCAGGCTTTTATCAGTCCCTCCATCATGAAGAATGTGATGTTGTTATCTTTTGACGATACATTGACCTCACCAAGAAGAACATTCAGTTCAGCATTGATGCAACAGCATTGATCGGCCAGATATCAGAATTGACCAATTTTCTCCTGACTGGTTTTGATTGGCGATCATCATAAAAGACTGTTAACTCATTAAATACATGCATCAAAAGTAAGAATCCCACTGTTTTTTTGTTGTTGTTGCTTAAAAACACCTCAACATTTACGAGTAAAGTACTTTGACTTCACTTTTTTGCTTGAATAAAAATCAGACAGTGGTTAGGGACAGATGCTTTGATGTAGAAATGGGAAAAATCTCGAAATTCCTTAATTTTCTGTTGGATAGAGTCAATGAAAGAATCTACAGCACATGTTTTTCTCTATTATGTTACATTCTTTGAGGAAAAAAACAGAAGTGGTAAAAAATTATAATTTGCAAGTTATAGCTGCAAGAAAACTGGAAATTGCAGGGGATGAATGATCAAAGTCTGGTCATTCCAGTACAACTTAAAAACCCAACTCCTACAGACAGCTTCCAGCCATAGTTCCAGTTATAGAGCTGAAAAATCCATGCTATCCCAGAGGAAAAAACTATTTCAGAGCTATGACTGGAAGCAGATTACAAGTGAGAAAAGTGGAGTGTCATTACTGAGGTCACATAGAGATATAACAAGAAAAGATGTATATGACTGTATATTACCATGGTAAGAGATGAGCTCTTTGTTTTGGTGGCAGAGGATGAACATGTCATCTTCTAGGGTGATGAAGTTCAGGTACTGATCAAACACCTGCAAAATAAACACTATTAATATCAATCCACCGAAAATATAGGAAAACCTGTAACATGGCTTCTCATCTCATCTGCAGCTTATAGAAAACTAGATATGTACACTTTGTTTTTTCTTTTCAAAGCTAGTGGGTGTAATCAGATGCGTACAATAGTCTGGAAGTTAAAAAATAAAAATCAGAAGGAAACCTCTGTAAGAAAATGTTCTAGCTGTCTTCTCTGAGTTTATTTGCACACAGCAGTTAGTGAGACCTGGATCCATGTGATCCCTCAATACTGATGTTGATGCCAGGGCTGAACTGGACCACAGTACCGTCTCATTACATCCTCATAGTAATGATTGGTAGCTTACATGTTTGTAACCAGGGATGCACCAATTCACTTTCTTCACTTCAGATACTGATACCAATCTGATAGACAAAAATCTGAGTTGAATTGACTTAGAACTTTCATTTGTTCAGTTAGTGCAATTAGGAGTAGAACAGCCAATGTAAAATAAATAATAAAGAAACTGAAACTGACAAAAACAAACGGTTGTCTTCTTTGGTTAACCATGTTTAAAAAAAACTGCAAAAAAACCTTTAAAAATAATTCAGAACGTGCAATTAGGAGATCTAAATATAATATAAAATAAATAAAGCATGATCTTGGTAAGAGCATAAAGCATAGAATTAGACTGAATAGATCTGCCCTTATGGATTGGGAACATTGTCACCGTTACTCCATCTAGAATTTTTTTCAGTATCAGATATTAACATGGGATCGGTACATCTCTAATTGTAATGACATTTTCTCATTATCAATCCAAAACTTATTATATAGTTAATACAAGTTATTACCATCCAATAAGTCCATCTGATGATATGAACATATTTGTATCTGATTCTCCTGTGTTTAAACATAACATATTCAGCTAACACATGGCTAACATCAAACAGTAAATCAAAGGAAAGGACAAGACAGGACATGATCTGCTTGGTAAGTTCCACAATGTCCCTCAGAAATCAGTTCACTTCTATTAAGATGTTCACTGTGTCTACAACATTTTTAACAGAAACAAACTGAACTCTAACAAAGCCTAAAAACGGCTGATCTAAGCACAGTTACCTTGGTGACTTGGCTGACTGCATTAGCAGCCAGAGCAGCACTGGCAATGTCCTCCAGTTTACTCCGACTGATGGCAGAGATGAAGTTCAGGAAGTACGACTCATACAGCTGGCTCCTCAGATCCTACACACACAAAAGTTACACACAAAATGCCACTATGTCACACGTTGTTATTTAGCCACTAAATCCAGTGTGGTTCAGAAATTGATAATATATACTCAACAAAATTCTAAACGTAAAACTATTTTTCAGCTGTTTTGTCCCCACTGGGCATGAACTGAACTCAAAGATCTGAAACACAAAAGACCTCTTTCTCTCAAATATCGTTCCCAAATCTGTCCCAGAACCAGTCAGTATCTGGCCTGATGAAGGCTGACACATCGCCTTCACTTAGACTTAATCATCAAGCTGAGTCATGTTTCAGGTATCAGAGCTAAAATGTGGGAGCACCTGACAGATCCTGTCGATGTTCTCCTCTGTGGGCATTAGGAAGTAGATGGCAGGAACGTCGGGAATAGGATCTCTGTCTGAGTGAAGAAGACTACACATACAAAAATAAGGTGTAGCAGAACACTGTTTACATAAATACTACAAAAAACATAACTTTGTATTAGTGCTCAGTGTATTTTAACCAGCAGATTGGATCCTCTTGTAAGTTACAGTCCCTTTAAAATCCAAACAATGATTTTCATTTTTGCTTTTTAACAAACCTAAAAGCATTAAAAATGCTTTTCTATTTATAACATCTAATTTCAATGGTACAATTTCAAGACATAATAGTTGCTAGGATATTATTTTCCTGAAACAAATCAAGAAGCTGTGTGTGAAAAATGAAGTTAACCCTTTCTAATTTATATTAAGAGGGCATCTGCTGCAGTTGATCCAAGTCTTTGACTAATTCTTAGCAAAAAAAAAGGATAGTTAAATTTCTGCTTAAAGGATTAACCATATTAAATATGATAAATCAAATACTGAAATAATCTAAGTTAGTAATCTATTAATCATTAACTGGAGCATACAGACTCAAAAACGGCCATATGCTGAAAGAATAACACAATGAGAGCAGCAATTAAACCCAAATTATTTATTCAGGAAGGATTTTAATACTAAGTAGCTTTATAACGTTTTATTACAAATTTCAAACTTTTACATTTTTTCTCTTTGTTATTTTTGTTTGTTTTTTTTTAAGCGATATTGCTAAAGCCTGGCTGACTGTTTTGTACAGGGCTATAAAAAAACAATAAGACTGACTGCAACACCTTGAGCAGGTGGAACCTGGCTTTAAAACCCCTTTATTAGCAGCCATGTTGCCTCATGCAAATTAATCATCTCTAAGCCCTCTCCCTCAATCCTAGCTGTGATGAAGAAGAGTCAGACAAAAAGTGGATCATTTTATATAACTGTAGTTGGTGGCAGAAATATTTTAGAGTTGTTGGCTTCCATGCAGAGGCAAGTCAGTACTGTAGAAGGCACAAATCCAAGTAATAAAAATACAACAGTATATTTCTTACAGATGAAGAGTGATGCCCATGTCTCGCAGTTCTTTGACGGACAGCAGTGGAGAGATGATATCTTGACCAAATCTGTCGTATATTAACACCTGCAGAAAATCAATCATGTAAACATGAGAGGCCTGTGTTGTATTTTCTCCTTTGTTCTGCTGCTTGGGAGTCTAAAATGTGGTGGTGGCTTGTTGGTAACAGCATTCTTTTGTTTGTAGAAAACAACTGTACTGTACAACTGTGGCTAAGGGTTTGAAACTAACGTCCATCTTGTTTTCTAAAATTCTACTGCCTACAGAAGTTTAACATAGATTTCTTATCTATGAAAGGATTTTATTCTGAAAAATTCCACATTTATACCATGGGATACTGCATATGAGCTCGGGGGTTAAATTTTGATTGATGACAATGCATTCTGCTTATCAGTGCTCAACTTTGCTACAATTTTTGGCTTTGTTTCTGTTCTCTTCTCACTTTTTGTCATCTGAACACAAATACTCTGTGGGACAGGGTTGTTCTTCACCATCTTGATCCTGGATCATTGGGAAAAGTTAGTTTGAAGGGTTTATTCATGTCCTTCTAGACAAAACATGCCCTTAACCTAACTGACTGAGATACCTCCATCTGAAGCCGATCTCATCCACTGCTCTTATCTTCCTCGCCAAAGGTCTAAATATCAGCCACTGTCCTCTTCTGCTCTGCTGTGAGAGACGTTTGACTGACTGACTGGCCCACCAGGTCATGTCTGCATGTTTGCAGTTAACAATAGTCACTCCACTGTTGCCAACTCAGCAACTTTCTTGCTGTATTTAGTAACATTTCAGATAAAAAATAATAATAAATCATCATCAGCCAAAATCAGAATCGGCAGACCAGGATTTTTAAAGACTGGTGTTCAGCCAGAAAACTGCACTCAGTGCACCCCTAGAAGGGACGTATCATTATTTATTAAGGGACCACCCTACTAACTTTATGTCTGTGACTTTAATTGACCCAGCACAGGAGAAATGAGTGGCCCAGTGACCAAAGTGTTACCTTCCATACTGGCTCAGCTGCTGCGTTCTTCAGAGGAGGAGTGTTGAAGTTCAACATTCGCTTTAAGGCGACTGCAGAGACACAAAAACACCATTTACTCTCTCAACAAGTGCTCAGCTGAGCATCTTCTCATCATAAATATCTTCAACTGAAAAGATACATAAATCAGAAACTGTTCTTGGTAAATAAAGCACATAGAGTTTTTTTTACTTTTAAAGTTTTAAATGGGTTAGCCCCCCCTTATCTTTGGGACCTTTTAAATTTCCAGTCTGTGTCCAGAACTTTACGATCAAATAATCAGTTATTACTTACAGTTCCTCGAACTCGACTTAAGAGGAAAGGAGATCGAGCTTTTTCTGTTGCTGCTCCTGTTTTATGGAGTTACTTACCTTTCCAGATTAGATCTGCCCACAGCCTGGATCATTTTAAATCACTTCTTAAAACTCATTTTTACTCTTTGGCATTTAATTGACGTATTGTTTTGTGTTCTGTTTTGTTATTTTTGTGTTGTTTTTGTACAGCACTTTGGTGCAGTTTTATACCTGTTGTAAAGTGCTATATAAGTAAATTTGACATTGACATTAGAGGACAGGTTTTGGTTTTTAGAGAAATCTTTGGGACATATGCAACCTTACATTTATTTTATGCAATTGCCATGGGACTGGCAATTCTCTAATCTTATTCCTACAGAAATTCAAAAAAGGAACCAAAAACAGCAGCACTTTGTCTCGCGACAGCAATGGAGAGATGATAAATTAGAAAAAGTAACAGATCAAAATTTAAAGACAGATTTAAATAGCCAAAATGTTCCAGAATCACAATTAGCACCACTTTGTACAAATCCCATGTAAGGTTGGTAGGTAATCTTTTAAGTTCACTAAAATCTTTCTTTTGAATGGCAGTATTCATGTTTTGGAGCCGTCCATCCTGAGTCAGAGCATCAATCTGATTTTAGGTCCCTGTGAAGGGATCAAAACATTAGGGGGGGAATAGACATAATGTGAACTAAATTGTGTACAATAAGTGATCTTTTCTCTCATTTTCTTTTTTTTATTCCTTTTGAATAGCTTTGGCTACAACGGTAGCTGAATATATATTTGGGTGTCAGATCTAAAAATGTTCCATGGGAATGAAATTTGATATATTCCTGCTGAAATGTTTTGACATTTTATGTCCCCTTTAAAATTATGGGTAATGATGATGACTGTCGGACCACAAGTAAATATCAGAATTAGACCTATACTATTACATCCCACGACTTAAAGAAATATAATTTAGGGATTGTCGGCAACATAATGTATGGATGTATGGATAAATTTCTTTGTAGATCCAGGAGTTTCACGTGAACACTTGTGTTTGAAATACATGAAGCCTTCAGCGTTAGCAGCAGGCTAGGACCATCTAGTTCTTCCGCTTGAAACCATTCACCACAAACAGCTGACACACTGCCACTGCGACTGACACTTTCATTATTAGGAATTTAATACAAGTGGCAGATAAGTTAAGGCAGTTTCTCCCGTAAAGCCGCTGCTACGGGAAGCGACTCCACCGGCGGCTAGCTTGTGAAGCAGGCGGGCTATGAGCCAGTTAGGAGGCTGACACGCAGTTACAGATGCTCAGGTTCTGACCCGGGTCTTTCAGAACAGCCTGCCAGTAATTTGGCTGCCCTCCTGGCGCACAGGAGTTTCTACCAGAAGGAAAAAAAATACTTTCGCTCACCTGTTTGCTTTTCTCGGACAGATGTCGCCATGTTTTATGTTGATAATGATGACGAAACCATTGACGTGGCAGCAGCCTGGACGGACGTAGTCCTGCTTTAGAGATTAGTGGATTGCGAAGAGGTATCACTCTGGTTCTTTTCCTGGAAACTTCACTCTGTTGGATCGAGTCATCACTGGTACGTGTTGTAGTAATTTGCAGTATATTAGAATGTCATTGAAATGCCAAATTATTTCCCTAATTTAATTTAAATAGTGAAACTCATATATTATATAGCAACATATTGATATTGCTAAAGTGCTTATTTTTCTCAAGTGGAACGCATGATTTGCATTAAATTTAAAGATTATGTTCAGTTTCTCACAAAAAGACATCAAACCAAGTTTTTTTCCGCTATTTTCATTAACCAATATTTTACTACTTTTATGGTCCCATGTACCTGATTGTACTGTATTATAACTAAACTACACTCTGTCATTTCCATTGACTACACTGAATTTAAATGTACTAAATCAAATTAATTGAATCAAATAAACATGAATTATATCTTCTGTTATTCAATTTGAAGTTCCCTAAAGTATGTTGTGTATCTGTTATATAAATAGACAGCAAAATTAAATTTTAGAATTAGACGGCTATAGGTCGAATTCCAACTTCCTCCTGTCTCATGACGATGTGCCCCAGAGCAAAGCACTGGACCCCAAAATGACCGCTGATTTGATCATTAGTTTGTTCACGTTTGTGAGAATGAAAGGGTGAATGTAGCCAAGTTGTCCATTTATATTTCAGTCCTTTATTTCCTGTCATTTTGATGATTGTGGCTTACAGATCATGAAAAATCCAAATTCAATGTCTCAGAAAATTAGTATAAATACTGGAGACTCGTGGTGTCACAGCTTAATCAGCATGTCAAAAGAACATTTCTAAAGAAGTTGGTTGCTCAGTGCTTCATCCAAGTATTTTCATAGAAAGTTGAGCAGAAGGAAAAAATGTGGTATAAATGAACATATTTTTCAAAAATCTGATGTTGGTTTGAAATATCCCTTTTTATACCATACCATACCAACTTTATTTATTAAGCACTTTAAAACAACCACAGCTGATACAAAGTGTTGTACATTAAAAAACAACAATAAAAAAAACAAAACAACTCTTAGTTTAAAAACAAATATACAATTTAAAGCTAAATCCCACTGGAGTTGAAAGCCAAGTACAATAGATGATTTTATAGATTTTTATGTCATATTTAAATATTCTGAGACACAGAATGTTTTTATTGGTGAGTCGTAATTATCAACAGCAAAGTAATTAAAGTCTTGAAATATTCCATTTTATGTGTAATCTAAATACAAGTTTTACTTTCTGAAATGGGTGGCGACAAAACTATTCTACACAATATATTTTCTTAAAGATCCACCTTTAGATGGCTCATCTTAAGATGTGGCATTTAATTGGAATTGGTAGAGGAAACGTTTCATTACTACCTTTCCTTATGGCTAAGGGAAAAAGCATTTTCTCATAGAATACCTACATTTTGTAATTTTGTTTCTATTACTTATAAATCTTTTTAAACTGACAATGTCATTTGAATTCTTTCATTTTTAGTTCCAATTCTTCGTACTTTTCGAAGTTCAAACATCCTTCCAAAAATCAGACACAGAATGAAACGCAGAGCAAGAATTAGATTTTATGAAAAGCAGAATAACAAACATGGGGAAACTAGCACCTAATTTCAAAGCATAATAAAGTAAGCACGGTACAAAATACAAGAGATGCACATGAAAAAAGTGTTGCAAAAAAACAAAAACTAACAGAATTAAAATCTGTAATATGAAATGATTCAGACGTGGAAGCGCAAAAATCCAAAAATAGATGGTGATAAAACCAAAGGAAAATCCAGTCCTCAGCTTTGGTCCGTGTTGCTGCTCACGCAGTACAACTGAAACAGTAAAGCCAGTAATAAAAGCTAAATCAGTTAATTAATGCCATGAAAATACCTTATTCTGAACAAATCTTAAGTTTGAGGGAACATCATTATATAAAAACTGTTGCTAATAAGAACTTTTTCTTCAATAGATCCATAGATGTTTTTTATTTTACTGCATCTATTTTTAAATGCATCATGTTCCCCCCCAAAGACAATCATTTAAAAACAGTTTCCTGATTGTCGTACTAGAGTTATGGATGCCAAATGCTACTCTAATTTTGACAAAAATAAAAACAAAACTAAAGCTGTTTTTCAGATGAGGGTTGTCTGTTGAGAGAAAACGGTTTTCCAGTTGGAGCTAATAACTGGTCCCATAACACATTAACAAGGCTTTGAATGAGTTTGCACTATTACGTCTGCAAACACTAGTTTAACCTGAAACTTGACAGCTTTACTTTGGGAGTGTCAAACAGGATTAAGAGACATAGTTCTATGTTTTGGCTCAAGATGCATAATATATTAAAAATAGCATTCATAGCAATATTAGTGAGAACAATCTTGCAACCCCAAAAGGTTGCTTGGATACTGTGATTGGCAGGCTATATTAAATTTTTGTACCACCCTATGTGGTACAAATATTAGTGAGAAGGTCAATCACAACTAATACCATCATCACAATATTTGAAAATAATTATGGCAATGTCATGTTTTCTTGATATTGTGCAGCCTTGAACTGGCAGAAGATGAAGGAGAAACATGACCATAAACCACTCCTACTCATAGATTCAAAACCTCATCAATTTGAGTTAAAGGTGATCAAATCTGAAAGGAATTTCTTTGTTTTGAACCAAAATATGACCAACATGCTAAAGATATATGGAGTGTCTCTGGAACACTGAGGTAAAAAAAGACCAACTTTAGAAAATAATACAGTATATTTAACAGTCAAAAGTCCACTCCACAGAGGTTGGCATGAGAAACAGATTGTCTCCTTTTTTCCCTCACCCACATCTAAGACCCTGAAGGGAACAGGTGCATATGATGGCTGATGGCCTGCTCCATGGAGCTTTTAAAGGCCTTGTAGGTGGAAGTAACAGGCAGGAGGAGGTGGTTGGTCGCTGGTTTGCACTGAGGGAAAAGCCCGTCATCCCACCATTCCACTGCGTTCTCCATCTGCTCCTCCAGCCTGACATGGTGGAGGAAGGAAATGGAGGGAGGTGGGCAGAGGCCCACTGCTGGAAGCTCATCAGCACCAGTGACAAAATGAAGGACGTCGTGAAGGGAGATGGAGCTCCTTCCAACTGGGGACATGGACACCATGTGTTAAAAGGTTTTTTTATTGAAATAATCTACGTAAGCTTCAGATTTAATCTGGAAATATTTTTATTTAAGCTTGTTTTGAATCTAGAGTATTGATAATGATTCAGGAAACAAAGTTAGATGAACATCCTACCCTCACACTCCAGCAAGAAGTGTCTCCAGAAGGAGACGATAGGCGTCTCTAGGTTCCGTGTCTCCTGCTGTTCTGAGAAGTTCATGGTGAAGAGCCGGTCGAGCGTGTCGGCCGTCATCGTTTCTCTAGCATCACAGAAAACACCGAAGAAGACGGATGGGAAGAGCTGAACCTGGATCAGATCAAACAAGTTCAGATTTTCCTCAGTCTAACTCCTGATTGTGACATCTTTGTTAAATGCTGTTGCTGTTTAACTGAAGGGTTTGTACTAGTGTAATGAAAATCAGCCTTAAGTCACCTGATCAAATACACCCAGCGTGTGCAGGCCTTCTCGTAACCTGCAGGTGGAAAAAAAAAAAAACTGTAAAGTTATTAAAGGAGGTTCGAATTTTTGAAGGGCAGTTTTGTTTACAGACTTCATAATCCATTTTATTTATAGCTTTGGTTTTATGTAGTTTTTAATTTTCCTCTTATTTGTTGTTGTTGTTGGTTGCTGTGTTTTATTTTGGATGTTTAAAATATCTTCAGGTTTCAATGTGAACCGTTTTGTACAAAATTAAAATTTACTACTCTTTGAGAGAGCAAACTTGTATTTTTATCCCATTATCAATATTTTACTTGAAAATGGTCTCAAAACAATAATATTATCATTTATCACAATATTTACCAAGCAACTTTGCCTAAAAATATTTGCTGCTGTGACAGGCCTACTCATGATTGTTCAGCTTCACCTCCACCTCGCCGTATTTTCCTCACCTCTGCAGAGGCAGCTGCATCCTGGTGATCATGGTGAAGCTGACCAGATCTTCCACCAGAGTCTCTCTCTCATCCAGACTGGTGACTGGTCTGTTGCAGCCTGCCAGCTCCAGGAACTCCCAGCTCGCTTTCATCACTTCCTTCAGCTCATCTAGAGACTCGGCGGCTGCAATCTAAATGAACACACACCAGCTAGTCAGCCTTCCCCGTCAGGGGCCTCTGTGAGGGATGCCTCAGGGCGGCGGACTCGGCCCTGCACTCACCCGGTGGACTTGCTGGGTGAAGTGTGTTTCAGGGGTCATGTGGTTCAAACTGAGGGGGCAGTTGGCTGGGTAGTTAAACAGACACTGGTAGAGACCGTGGGAGAAAAAACCAATAGGTGGACCACCGTGGACCAGACAGAGAGCCAACAGGGAGCCTATGTCAAAGTACAGATCCTCACGCAGAGCTAAATAAAACACACACACACACGTTTCATTTACGGATGTCATTTGTTTCCACAGTCCACAAAACCAACACAGAGACACCAAGGAGGCTGTCAGCTTTAGTCATCCTGCATGACACATTCCAGATAAAGTCCGTCTGCTCACCCTGGGAGTCCAGTGCCAGGTTTTTGGATCCGCTTGGGCCCTCAAACACCACGGAGTTCTGGATCTGCTGCATCAGTAGATCCAGGAAGTACTTTCTGGTTGCGTCTCCAGTGCGGTGAGTGCTGGGCAGGGTCAGGTGCTGCTCATCTTTGAACCTGGAGACAGAGAGTTGGCAGATGAAGAAAAGAAATAGCAGAACACATCTGAAGTCAAGAACGAATGTTTACCTGACAGACAGTGAGTGCGTGGGGTCAAAATTGGTCCTTCTGACCAGGTCCAGGCCAGCTGATAGAGCCTGGTCTCTATGGACCTCCACCTGGGCGCTGACAGGACTAGGGTGAGAAAGTAAAGACCTTAGGAGCTCCTCAGGTGAGTCGGGTCTTACACGAGTACACGGTCTAAAGAAAAACAAAAAAGAGAGAGAGAGAAATGAAGAATAAAAACAATAATGAATCGAGCAGGTGGAGGCAGAGCTTTGGAGCGTTTCATGTGTGTACCTTTTACAGCCTAACGGGGAGGTCAAGGGCGTCAGATGGCGCTTGGACAGTAAGCTTCTCTTCTGGCCACTCTGAGGTGATGCAACCAGAGATGCTGGAGCAGACAAAAACATGAGGTTTAAAACTGCTGCAGCAGGAATGTTCTATCATTAACCAGAGCAGAGGAGACGACATGCAGATGTAGGCACACATAAATCACAGAGAACTGACCTTTCCCATCCGTTGCATTTATGCAGTCGATGCAGGCCCAGTCTGTGGTGTTCAGCTTTAGATCTGAACATTTCCTGTGGGTTCCTCTGGATCCACAGAGGCAGCATCGGATCACCTCGAACCACCTGGAAACACACCAGACACTGAAGCTGCAAAGTTTCAGTGTCTGTCAGCATTTCTGATCTCCTTCTGAGACCAGCCCCTTCACCAGTTAACACTGCTGAGTCGTCTCAGCTGAAATGAAGTCTAATTGCTCAGCTTGCACAGTAAAAATATTGAAGGGATGTTTTTGTAATATTTCAAGCTGCATATTGAACTCAACTGGTAACAGGATTAATCTAAATAAAGCTGCAGAAATTTACTTTCATAAACAATGTGAGGTTTTCTTTTTACATATTTGTTAAAACTTTCGCCATGTTGCGGCAGTATAATACTGACAGATAATCAGTGAAAAAAATGAGCTCCGCTTCCCTGTGGTCCTACTGCCATCCGCAGAAATAAACCGCTTGGTCAGAAACAACCAATCAGAGGCAGGAGGATGGCCCTAGCGCTGTCAATCACTCTCCTGTACACGCTGCAGTTATGCTAGTGACAGAGAAACAACTTATTGTCGCAGGAAAACTGTTTTTCTCCGGTCATAGGTGGTCACGCTAACTAGCCTTAGCATTCACAGAGGAGTATACTGTGAACCAGCTGTAGTAAAGAGCAAGGTGTAGAGTGTGAGCAGCACATACACAAGAGTGATTGACAGTGCCAAGACCCTCTTCCTGGCTCTGATTGGTTGTTTCTGAACAGGAATGGTGTAATTCTACTACAGAAATACAGCATTCCTGTTTCAGTCCCAAATATCACAAGGATACCAGGACCATGGTGATTTAAATTTTATATAATTACAGAATATACATCATCAGTGTCAATGTTTTTATGTTTACAGATCTAGCACAACATGATGTACCCCTTCTTAGAGTATGTGCGTCCCTCGTTGCAGAGGCAGATAACAGAGTCACAGTGATTGTAGACCTCCAGAAGCTCAGAGTATGCATTTGCCTCCAGTTCCCATGATGCATCTCTGCACAGAACAAAAAAAGAAGAAGAAATTCTATGTACATTCTTACTCTGAGCAGTTTCATAACCTGCGGTTTAAAGGCTGGATAGATTAGTGAATGCAGTAATTGCAGTTACAAAGGATTGCTTAGACTTGATATTTTGTAGGTTTCTATATTCTGTGTCATGCACACATGCATGATGCAGCTGACAAACAAGATAAACTGTCCTCTATGCTCAAAGCTCATCTACATTTTCAGCGTCTTAGATATTTAAACTCACAGAGGGTAATGAAGAAATTATGAAATGATAAAGCATAATAATAATTAATATAATAATTATAATAAGAAAAATAAGCAGAAAACATGTGATTTAATCATAACTGACATTGTTATTGCAATTTAAAGCATTAGAATTGCCATTATTTTTTTTTTAAAGTCAATTAAATAATGTACATAATTTCAGAAAAAAAGTGTAAAATACTGTAATATTTAAGCTATAAAACAGGTTCATGTTTACTGCAGATGTAATCTAGTTAATTGTTACCTTTCTGGGATGTATATCCCCATTCTGACCATCTCCTGCTGGAAGTTCTCCTTGTTGTTACAGAGAGTACATCTGAAGAAGAAGAGTCCCGCGCTGTGGGCCTGATGCTACACACAGAAAATCAGTCAGAAAACACTTTGGTTCCTGCAGGGATTTATTTAGTAATGGACTAAAATGTCCTAAGTAGGATTAGGAAGGTAGAAAACAGAAGAGGATTAACATTAAGGCGGCATGTACAATGCAATAAAATAAATGAAAAATAATCTAACTGAGTGCCACTAATTTTAAAGACACAGTCCCAACCTGACTGACTGTTTCCTTTATTTAAATATCCTGTGATATTTAGAGTTTTCAGCTTTTTTTCAGGATGCTCATATGCAACAGCTTTTTAACTTCAGATGTTTACTTTATAACAAAAACTATTGTAAGAGCAGGTGAAGCTGTGACCGAGTCAATAAATCACTGACAATCAGCAAGAGGAGCAGATGTACTGAACTCCTAGATTTCTTGTGTTAGCCATAGTTTCCTCTAAAGAAAGTTGAACAGGCGACATCACTTTGCATCGGAACGCTGATGCTGGGTTTACATAAACAGAAAGAACAGTTAACTGAACTCAAAGGTAAGAGTTTCAAGCTGATGAGAAGAATAAAGCTTCAGGATGTCCAGCAGGCCAGAGGACTGTCTTCTCCTGAGTATTGTGCTACAAAACCTTTCAGGAAAAAATGAAGAAAAAAAAAAAAGCTAAAGAAAAAAATCTGCTTTATTCAGAATCAGCAGGTCAGGCTTTTTAAAAAGCCAGAAAACTGCAACTGCTACACTCCTATTAATTAGGTCACATTTCCAATTAAAAGCCTTTCAAATGTATATTTACTCTAAAATGCTAAAGTAACTGTGGGCCATATGTTACCTGCACACAGTCTCTGTGGAACCAGCTGCCATGGCAGGACGGACACTTGAGGACAGAGTAGGACAAGACAGGCTCAATAGAGTCTAAACATATTGAGCAGGACTGAGGAAGACTGAAGTCTGAGTCAACGCAGAGAGATTGAGTTGGACTGTGATCCTGACAGTAAGACCTGCAGATGAAAAAACACATTCAGGTCAATATTGTTACAGCCTTTCACATTGTAAGCAAGATTTTTCTTAAGAGGTTCAATTTTGAATTCAGCTGTTTGTTCCATATAAGTTTCATGTGTTTCCTGTTCAACACCTGAGCTTCCCAAGCCTGAAAAATCTAATTTAATCTGGATTATTTTTCATCATTCCTAATTGACCAAATCTGACTAAACGTGAGTTTGCTTTAAAGGCATTTTAACCCTAATATTCTATGCAAGAATGGATATGTATATTGTTTGTACAATCTTTATGCACATTACTGCAGCAGTTTATAAATAAGTTACATTCATGTTAAATTATTCCCCACTTCCTGGTCATTGGCAAATGTCTTCTCACACTTGCAAATCAGATGTGATCTTACAAACATACGTTAATCATGGGCTTCATTAGTTGCATTATGGGATACCTGAAATATCTGGACAATTAGGGGAGAGAAATCAATTAAAATCAGAAATCGGATATGAATAGAAAAAAAGTTGGAGATTTTATTTTTAAGCCAAATTGCCCAGTCATGCTTATTGGTGATGTGTCATTCCACACCGAAAATGTATCCAAAGACCAGAAAACTGCTAAAATAGGTCAGAACGGTCTTCAGATTTCAGCAAGTCAAAATAAGACTTTTTAAGATAGAGTCTGTGTGTGACTCAAACTATTGTCTGACAGAAAAGTCCAGCGAGATAAAAAGAGGAAGTACATACTAAACTACATCTTGCCACGAGTAAATTTAAGACCTGAGATTAATGTATTTGAGGCAAACTTACATTTTTTGAAATTAATAGAAGATCATTTTAAGGCCTTAATTCTCAGTTGTCATGAAGGAGCTGAATAATCCCAGAAGTCATTTAAAGCGTGGAATCTGGAGAAATCAGCTGTAATATTAGTTTTATAGAGCTAATTAAACCATTCTTGTTGGACTTGTTTACTACAGTATAACAACAAATTTAATGTGCAGAGTGGGGGACCAATTTGATTGCAATGTTAAGTGTATGTTAGTGTTGGATGACTAGCTGAGTGTTTCTCTCTACATCTGAATGGTGTTTGGTGTGGCCACTTACGGGAATATTTCGTTGTACTGTGTGATGAACATCAGCTTCCTCCCACAGGGGAAGTGCACCACCTTCCTACAGCTACTGACATTGCAGCCAACACATGCGCCCTTCTTCTTACAACCATAGCATGTCTGGAGCACATGAACGACACACAAATTAAAGAGTTTCTCTGTTAAAGTCAATTTTAAATGTTAAATAGCCAAATTTCCAACTGTCTCCTGACTTTTTAGAATCTTTCAGACGAAACAACTGATATGTGTCCACCCTACTTAGCACTCACCATCCGAGCTGCCCTCCTGATCTCCTGTTTGATGTCATCCACCAGGAAACCAAACACACCCTCGTTCTCTTCTCCTCGCTGGTAAACTCCACTAGACGTCAGCTACAGAAGACAAGAGAAAGCTCTTTGACAACAGGTAAAAATGAACCGATATTGTAAAAAATTATGCATTTCACTACACTTTTGACACCTTGAAAAAGCTGACCCCACAGCTGACTTCACCACTGCTTCACTTAAACTCTTCACACACATGACCAGACAAATACCTCATGACCAAACTCCTCCCCCTCGTTCAGAAACAAACAGCAACAAGATGTTAATGTTACTATTATCCGATATGATATGCTAAAAATTGACTAATATTGTCCAATACTAATGTTGGTGCCGATATATTGAAGAGAAGAATAAAAAATAAACAGCAGATGAATCTGCAGAAGTAAGACAAGCCACAGATCCTGCTGCTCTGATTGGGCAACTGGGATTTCATCCCATAGACAATTGAAACCAGAAGTTTACATTCACCGAATAAAAAAAAGAAACAAATTGTTTTCCTCACAAAACATGGTGTGAGGTGTGAAGTCTTATTTCTGAAGTGAAATAAAACCAAACTTATCTTGTTTTAGGTCAGTTAGAATTACCATCTAATTTCTATTAGCTGAAAGCCACAATATTGATAAAAAGAATGTCAGATATTAATATTGATTTATCTATAATCAGTAAGTACAGGTGTACATATCGGTATATATAAACTTCTGGTTTCAGCTGAATCTGTGAACACTGAATCATGTACATAAAAAGTTGATGAAAACCCACCAAACAGAAGTAATGGACAGAGAATTTGTGCTCTTCGAGTTTGACCTTTTCCCCAAATAAGGCCGGGTCATCATCACTGCATCTGCACAGAGCACAGCCTGGAAACACACAAAATTATAATTCAAAATCAACATAATCAAATTCCAATCACAAATTCACACAACACATTTCCACTTTTGATCCTTTTCTAGTTAATACTGAACAATGAACAAAGTCTAGAATCTCTCGTTAACTTAGAAGAAAGTTACAACAAAACAAACCACAGGTGATCCATGTTTCAAACATTTTTTGTATGACTATTCAAAAAATAGTTTTTCTGTCGGAAAACTAAAGTTATGTGTTTCCTAAGTGGCAGGTCACCCCTGTAAAGGCCAGAAATATGTTTTAATGCTCTGTCACTTTTATGCAAATAAGCTGTAGTCCCCTCAATGATTACCATGTTTACACTCACACATTATACACATAAAAAAACTGTAGACAGATACACAATTTGCAACCATACATCTTTGACCAAACACTTCCATCATACTTTGCCTCAGCCTTCCTTTCCGCCATGGAAAATGTGGACCTGATGTTTTATCACAATATTTCTAACCTAAATGTTACAATAAGAATGATTTATTACTACGTTTTTGGTAACTGCATGGCTGTGATTGTGTGTCACAGCAATTACATGGTCCCGCAAACACAAATATTGCTCTTGGGAAAACATTCCCATTTGACATGTGCTTCTTTAGGACGCCAGTCACATAAAGAAGTGCAATGATATTTATTTATATCTTTAGTGAAAATACAGTGGAGGAAATAGCAAAACAAACAATCCCAACAATATGGACAGTTTTGGGAAAATTTAGAGATCATTAATTGCAATAAGACATTTCTCACAATAAATAATACATTTTCTGTTACTACACCTGCAGTTTTACATGGAAACACTGATTTATACACAGCTAATTCAGTGTTAGTGGAAACAGTGGTTTTCATGATTACACATCACATACAATCTTCCTGTTTGCCGGACTTGTCAGCTTCCTTTAACCTTCTTGACTTCTTCCTCATGATGGTATCCAACCTGTGGAGACATGATAGACACTGATGACATTTAATGAACAATCACCACACTATACAATTGCCATACAATAGATGGCGCTGTAGGTTGCTGATATTATAAAAACAAAATGAAAATGGATAACAGGGCTACTTGTGAGCAGCAGTGACTGTGAACAAACCTAAAACTCTTTGCATCTTGATTGCTTTACATAATAATAGACTCACCAAGCAGTTTCTCAAATCAGGCAAAAACATGAGCAACTCAATTAAATTTAATAAATAAAAGTTTCTTTGAAATTGTTTGTGTAAAATGAAGCAGCAGAATAATCATAAACATTTCCAGATCCATAAAGCTTTAGTTTCTAGAACAACTTCCTATTACCAAGTGGTCAAGTAAAGAGTTAACTGTGCCACCAAAATATTAGAGGAGCAGTGGGATGGAAATTATTTATGCTTTTCATCTTGTAACATGTTCCAAATTTGATATACCTTGATAATTATAATTGTATTGTGACTAATGTGTAGCAAATCTACAATTTTATAACAGAACTTCTTATTTTGTTGCACATAAATTGTAAGGTAATAAACTGGGACACGGTTATAAAGATCCACTGATTAGGCTATTCATGACCAAATCCGACCTGTGCTGCAAGTTCTTTAAATGAACAGTAGTTCAGCAGAAAATAAAGGAATTCCAAGATTATCCCCATTCATACATTATTTTATATAGTCATTGCTTCCAGTTGGTGATTAAATCCACCAACACTGGGTGGGGGAAAAAGAGGTGTAGCTACTAAACAAAGAGGTAGCACCATAAAATACTGCTTTAACGCCGAGATAAACCCTAGCTAAAATTAAAACACAATCTTCAGCTATATTTTGTCAAATCAAACGTAAAGACCTGCACATTAGAAAGATTTTCTAAAATGTAAGCGAAGTTTTCTCGCCCACCTTTGTCGACCTGCCTATTTGTAATAGTGAAGAGCCAAAACCCTCCGTTATAGTGAAAATGAAGAAATGTTCTTCCTTTCGCCTACCTTACCCCCAGATGAATATCTTTAGTCTGCATTCATATTTTGCTCTTCTTTTGAAAGTGCATTTTTCTCGCTAGTCTGTTTACTCTTAACGATGTCCACTTTTAAATTTCCCTCTTTCAAAACAAGGGAAACCCATTTCCGTTTCCGGAAATTTCTGTCCAACTGAAAACATTCTGCTCCCCCTTTCGTCAGGAGCGAGCACAGCAGCCAAATGACAGTAATTTATGACAGTTGTTCCATTAATTGCAATTCTGACATTTGTTTCTCATACCAGTACATTTGAGTTCTTCATTGCTGACTTTAAAAAGTCCGCAAACTAGCTTTCAAAATTAGCATTTTATTTTTGCCAGATTTAAATCAATATTCCTGAGAAGACTTTAAGTGCGTTTAATAGCTAAAAAACTGTAAATGTTTAAGAAAATTCGTGAAATTCAAACAAATCGTTAAGAGAATTTTATTCAGATTAATTAATTAGTTAAGGCATTGTTCTTTATATTGTGTCAAATGTTGGACACAACATTGTTCCCTTATATTTTGTTATTCAAATGAAAACGTATAATTATTGGTTGAAACTCATCTGCACAGTCAGATGGCAATTCAAGGACACCAAGTGAAAAATCTTATGTACAAATTAATTGTTAATGTTTTAGTACTATTCACCGGATTAACACGTAAAATTGGTTAAAGATTTTTTTTTCTGGTCCGCTTGGATTGGCTGACCAGCTCCTGTTAACAGTACCAGCTCAAGCTCATGAGGATATCGGGTATTTACAGTTGTGGCTTCAGAACTGTTGCCATTAAATATCAATCAGGTCTTTTGTTTAGTTTAGTTTTATTTTCAACGTGTTTGTGGAAGTCAAATTGTTTTTTGGATTTATTTATTTATTTATTTATTTATTTTATTTTTTATTTTTTGTGGATGTGCGTTTGTAGTGATTGCAAGGTGTAAAATAACTGTTTTGCAGTTTTGCAGAAAAGCTTTACAAGAATACAACTACAAAAGCATATTTCTCAGTGACTTTGAATTTACCCAAATAAGTAGATTGTGAGCTCAGATGGTCAGTTGGTAGCGCGCGCACTATTTGCCCAGTGCTGACGCACTTGCCATGCGTTCCATTCGAGCTATTTGCTGCATGTATTCCTCTTCTGTCTCCTCCCTGTTTCCTGTCCAGTTACTGTTAAATGAAGGTCACCGGTGCCTAAAAACACAGGTGAATTGTTTCTGCCTTCATATTATCTTCATGTGACTGAACCTTCGTTACTATCCCTACAAGAATAAATTAGTTAGATTAGTTAGAGTATTTTTATAGTGTAATATTGGCTAGTAAAATTGAAGAACTTTCCCTGAGGTAACCGCTGCGAACATCTCCTGTCCTCTCTTCTATCCCTCCTCCCCGCCCAGGGGAAACAGCAGCGTCACCGGGTGAAGGGCGGCGCCCGCAGGTACCCACATCATCAGCTCAGTCCACAGCACAAACAGCTGCAGACAGACGCAGCTCTGTGTCCAGAAGTCAAGGAGACTCCAAGGAGCTCAACCAGCTTTCTCTCTCGCTGTGGACCGAGCAGGAAGGGACGCGGAAACATCCGGAACGTTTGGAAATCTCGAAAAAAGGGAAGTTGGATAGTTTGTATTTGAGAGAAGTATGTTCAGCTGGGTGAAACAGGAGCAAGGTGGCCGCAACAAGGAAGGAGAGATGTACCAGACGGTCACGGAGGGACTCCAAACTCTCTACACCAAAAAGCTGCTGCCGCTGGAGGAGACCTATCTCTTCCATGACTTCCACTCTCCGGCCCTTGAGGGGGCCGACTTCCAGAGTAAGCCCATGGTGCTGCTGGTGGGGCAGTACTCCACCGGGAAGACCACCTTCATCAGGTACTGACCGCTCTGTCAGCGGCCGAACCGCTGGGAGAGCTGACTCTTTCATCTGCTCAAATTAACTTTGTTTCTTATTGTACTATACATGGAACTTTGTGCCATAAGTATCAAATATTTCTACTTAAATCTATTTAGATGAAAAATGCTGTAAAATTGAACAACATAAGTCAAAGAAAGAATGACATCCTCATATACTATTTGTGAAAGTTGTGAAAATTAATTTTTGCTCAAAAATAGGATTTAAAAAGAAAAATCCTAGATTGTCCTCAGACAAGGTTTGACTGGGAAATCTATTTTATTGGAATCTGATCAGAAAAGGCAGAAGAAGTTCTGCTTCAGTTGCCAGTATTCTGGTAGCCTAAAGAAAGACGGTGAAAGAAACCTGAACTAGTTCTAAAACCCTGATCACTCAGGAAGAGCAGAACAAATGAATGAATGTAAAGTCTCTGTTTACATCAGTCTGCAAGTTGTTTCACAAGGCAGAACTTCAACAGGATGTTATAGGATTTAGTTTAAAAATGTAACAAGCTTTTCACATCTTTTGTCAGTAGTGTAAACTATCTGAAAAGTTCAGTATTTTTTGCTTCGTTATGATCTACTCAATCCCATGTATTCCTCCCTTTCGTACCTTAAACTCTTCAGGGTGGGAATACACTGCATTTTTGCTATCTGTTCTTTCTAAAAGGACCTATAGGTGCCTGGTATGAGGTCACTCTGCCTCTGGTTCGTCCCTGACTTGTCTAGTGAGGAAGTCAGAGGGTTGCATCAGCTGACCTGTTTAGGGGCAAGTCGGACTCCCAGGTCAAAGGACTGATGTAGTGACGTGTGGTTTTGTGCAGGCAGAGGATTTCAGAGTGCAAACAAGACTCAGGAATCAGTTCTTCAAGAAGAGTGTTCCGGGAAATCTTGGTCTCGTGTGTGATCTGTGATTGGCCTGAGGGGCCTCAAAATGGCTTATCTTCATAGGATTATGACTGAAAATGTTTTGTGTGAGATGTTACAGATCAGGGGTCTGAAACATTTACACTGGTAAGAGATATATAGTATAGCTAGATAAAACTTGTTTAGAGCTGCAAATGTTTCATAACCTTTTTTTTTATAGAAAAAAGACAATTAAAAAATCCCTACTGTAAAACATTTACAAAATGGAAGTACCATTTTGGTTTTATTTTTAGGTTTTAGAACAAATAAAAAATGTATAACATTTGCAAAAACAGTATGGATACATTTTATTTCATAAGGCTTTATTTGAGGGGGGCACATGGTGTCCAATTTAATAAGAAGAAAAATGGATTCAAAAATAAAAGTAGTACTTTTGGTGTCAGTCAAGAGCAATATTTCTAAGGTAAAACTACTAAGACTTGTTGTGATATTAACATCCATTCTAACTTTTTACAGTCTGGGTTTATCTTGCACCGAGGCCTTTTCATCAGAAGGCTGCAAGTTTCACAGCTGGAGAGCCACGGAAGGAAATGTGCATTGTTACATTTATTCTTTATGGTTCATCATATCTACCAAATATTCATGCTGCAGGAACTTGCATTCTGGATGCAGAGTGGACAAGGTGTAGCATCAGCACTGCAAACTGCTAAAACTGGTTATTTACTCTGTCTGATTCTGTCTTCCAGACAGTAGGTGTCGCTGATGAGAAAATCTACATGAAGAAAAACGTTTGCCAAACATAGATTTTTAGAACATAAATGCAACTACTGATGCACAATGTATCGGGATCTGCTGATGTTGGTCATTTTTTAACATCCCTCCTCATCGGTCCAATAAGTAGAACTGTACCAATATTAAAAACCGACACAGATTTCTATCTTGTCATTTGTGTTTCTGGAGCAGGACGAGGTTGGTCCTGAGACAGTGGTAGAGAAGCAGCGCAGGATTGTGGGTCATTAACTGAAGGAGAGAAGCGATGGAGATAATGTTTTTTATTATACCCTAGTAAATAAAACCCTTGAAAAAATGGGGGGTAGTTACTTTTGACCATAAGTATAATTTCCAGTGAAGGAGAGTATTCTAGGTATTTGTCTTATTTGCCCTCACAGTATGTTTTAATGAGACAGGTGGATGAAGACCTTGAAGTGTGTGTCTTCCTGGATGAGAAAGTCGCTCAGCTGCTGTAGAATTTGTTTACAACCTCCGGGGAAAAACTCCACGCCTGAGACGCATCATACACAGTCTGTCATAGACAGAATCCATTCAGTTCTGTTTTATTTATATATATATATATATATATATAAATTAATCTGCAATGGTTTCCTTGTCAAATCAGTAGCTAAACAAGCATTACTCAGTATTCTGTTACTCACCTTTGAAGTGTCATGTTGATGTAACCGTCATTCAGGGTTGGAGGTCAGAGGAAATGAGAGGATGAGGTGGTAAAAGGAGAGCTGTAATAATAAGCAGTCTGCATAGGCTCCGTGTTTTATTGTCCCATTTCCTGTTCACTGGAAACATTTCAAAACACACTGGGAAACACACATCTCTCCTACTTTACACACAGAAACACACTCTCACACACACAGGGTTCATCAGGACATTGTCACTGAGACCATAGAGCTTCTTAACTGCTGTTACTTTTGAACTAAAATCCAACTGGATAATTTTGTTGATTGTCTGACACTATTTCAACAAACATTAGTTTGGTTTGACGTCATGAAAAAAACGTGTTCACTATGTGATTAAAATGTAACCGTAAAGCAAAGCCCATATTAAAAAGTCCATATGGTCCACTAAAGGATTGTTTAAAAAAACAGACGAAATTTAACTGTCTGGTTGAGGAATTTACATGTTTTTTTCTTTACCAATTGTTTAGATGATATGTTTATATTTACAATACTGATGTTCATGTCAGGAGTTCAAGAGTTTAAAAAAATGATTAATTATGGTTTCCATTGCCAATTTTCTAATGGTGTGCTGTTTGATGCTTTAAGGCGTGTTACTTTACTGCATTCATGCTCTTCACAATAATTAATAGAAAAGTCTTTCTTTGCATTACAGCAGCCAGGAGCCCTTGTTGTTCTTGATAAGCAGCTTTTTCATATGTCTTGTTTTTGGTCATCCGTCTTTTGGATGACCAAAGTCTTTATATTTGGAAGGCCTCTTTGCCATCACCCTTCATCATCTTTTGTGCCTTCCACAAATTTTCTGTCCATTTCAAGCTGAGACTGTCTAGGCCTTTCAGAAACATCAGTATTTTGTCATTTGTGAGTTCTCTACTGGTTTGGGTCAACAGTGTTCTGAAATGACTAATAAGATCAAGGTTA